CAAGACATCCGTAGATCGACATGTTCGGGCACACGGCGATCAACCCAGCCCTTACAGTCGAGATATCTAGGCTATCGTAGTCTGCCTGTGCAACCCCCTCTCTAGGCAGGTGAGAGGTAGCAAAGCCACTCACATTCCCTAGACCCCAAAACTCCCCACCACCCAGCTACCTGATGGGGTGGTCTATGTTTCACCTCCCACGTCCGGTCATTCTTCAACCCCTACCTTAGAAAGCCACTGCATCCGCTTCTCAACGAGGGTTATCTCCGGCACAAACGGACTAAAAGAAGGGAGGAAGAGGGGCTAGAGGGAAATGTTTACGAAGCTCACAGTGTTCCTTCGCCGTCGCCCTCGTCCCTGCTATACACGTAGATTGAGGGGAGCGTACCAGTCCATTTTCCGGGTCGACCGCACCCATCTTGTCAAAGGAACGGGGGCGGCCCATAATAGCCGATTGGAGGCTGGCTGCATGCGCCATCAAGTCTCCTGATTGCATCGAGCCGTGGGAGTGTCGCCTGGTTTCGTGCAGGAATAGCGAGTGCTCCCTTTTGTTTTTTGTTTTTTTATTAAGGTACGCGCATGCCTAGCGAGAAGCTGGGGACTATGACTGGATGTCACGGAAGTGGGCCGAAATGGTTTCAATGTTCGATAAACAACTTGAACAGTTAACTCGGGTGCGCGCACAGTTCCACGTCCACTGAACAGGCGGAACCAGTGTTTGTGATGTCATTTTTAGAAGCTGACACAGTGCACGCAGGTCGAACCGCCGGCAAGGAAGACATGGAAGGCCTAGCAAAACGAGGGGACGTGATGAGGGGCGGTTCTTGGAGAACACGCCCATGAATCATTCGTTTTCGTCTGAGAAACTGTTCAGGGCTGGCTGATGTTTCTGCGGTGCTGAAAACTCACAAAAAAAAAGGTCCGTTGGTCTGTGGCCAGTCTCGCCCTGGCGTCACAACTTGGAGAGCCGCCCACCAAACAATTGCACAACACGACTAAGGCCACCCCGTCTCGGGCCTTGCAGCGGGCCGGGGGCCCAGATCAATTCATCCAAACAAGCCATTCTCACACGTACGGCCATAGGGATGTGACCGCGTTCCTAAACCTTTTGTGCTGTTTCGAGAGGAATATGTTTCGTTTCGTTCCCGCCCGTGGCTTCGGGATCCGGTGACAGCGATACCACTTGTCAATTGATCACATCAAATGATAGCTGCGGTGTCGGAATTTTGCTGGACCTCTAAACTCATCCGCCTCCCGGGGAAGGGAACAAAACAGCAGTTCTCCGGAAAATCGCGAACCTGTGCTGCAGGTCAAGTGTAATGTTGATAGACTACATGTATTGGCTGCTCAGGGTGGTGTGAGAGTGAGACAGAACAAGCTACCCAGCTCTGAGGTGCCTCTCTTGGGGAAAGTCTAGGGAAGGTCGCCGAGAGACTACAAATGTGACGAATAATGGCAGACATGGATTCATAGTGAGCCTGCTCGCCTCTGACTTCTCCAATAATCACTGCTTCCCAACTGTCCTCGTTTGCTGACTTGTTTGCCGCGCTGACCAATAGACCTCATGGTCGCCGTGGTCAAAGGCGAGAGAGAGATTTCCGTTTCTCCTCTGACGTAAATATAGTGTACCAGAGGAGGCCGAGACGGGAGTATAGGAGACACTGGGGTTGAATTTTGATTCTTTACATTATGTACGCTCCTCCTGGAGCCTTGGCTGTCTGGGTTATTCGGCGACAGCGGCAGCTTGAGACCCTCTTTGCATACTCTTGAACACCGGGGTGTTTCGTAGCAACGATAGTCCCGGAAACGCCGTCGCTGCTAAACAACAAAAAGAGAAGAAGGCGATCCCAATTCAGATGGAAACCAGTGGCTTGCTACCTCTCAGCCCCTTCGGCCAGCTCGGATATCTAGAGCCTACTTGGGCGCACATGACGCGATACAGCCAACTCGTTCGTTTCGAGAAACTTATTACAGATGATATCTTTGTTCCTTGGCTTTGGCCAAGGCTGGTTGTCTGGGTACACTGGTGACGATGCGCATCGACTAAACAATCGTCACTTGACCCAATTCTAAACGGGGAGGGGAGGGGGCGAGGAGGTAGCCGTCGCCCTACCCCCTTGTGGCCACTGTTTGTGTCTCACTCCGAGATCATGGTTCGCATCAATGACGGGCTCTAGGCCGATATGGCCTTCTTCCCTCTCTGTATGACCTTGGCCCGCACAACTTGTGAAATTCACCCCATGGGTCATCTGTATCTTAGGGCCTGATGTGTCAGTTGACGGCTAACAAAATGCAGGGCAAAAAAAAACAGAGAGATGAGGGACATTGAGCCTCAAAGTCAGACGTAGGCCGGAAAACGTGCGTCCGGGCTGCCGAGGCTGCTCGAGCGGCCCTTGGTGTCGAAAGAGGTGAAAGACACCAAAAACACGCGACCCTTCCCCGGAATTCCAAAACAGACAGTCTAGACAAGTAGGTGAACCCGAATAATGTGTAGGGCTTAGGGGAATGTCACCCCGGAAAGAGATCTCGGACTAGGCTTTTTCTGCAAGGAGAGAGCGATGCTCGTTTAACGCATCTGGCTTCTCTGTTAACGAAGGTTCGGCCCGGGCACCGTAAGACTGTCAAGCTACGGTTTTCTGCCTGCCCTATTCTCTAGAGCGCTTTCATGAACTGCACGGCGGTGTTACTTCTGAACGGTAGAAACTGAGGAGGGCTCCTGTAGGTTCACGACAATGTTTCACAGTGGACTCTGCTGTTCTTTCGAATATATACAAGCGATGAGGTTGTTGCCCAATATTTTCGCAGTGCATTGATCAAGACCCATCCTTAATTTATCGGTCAGCGATGTGGATATCCAGACAATCAGTATGGATATCGTCTGCACTTCCCCATCAAGGGACAGTAGCAATAAGGCAAACCGCAGTCGGATCGCACTCGAAGACAAAGTGCTTTAGTCGTATCGAAGGACAGTACGTGCCTACCCGTCCGTCCGGGGGAGGATGGCACAACATGGAAGGGGATCACCCGACGTTTCGAGGTCCTACGAGATATAAACTGTTCTGCGGGAACGCATATATGTTTGGTGGCAGGCTGCGTGCCGGCTCAGGGTTGCATAGTCCTCGAGGAGAGTTCTGTTGCTGGCTGTTCGTCTTTGACGTGGCGATAGCTGCCTCTCGACATTTCCTTTACTCTACGTTGTCGTGACGATATACAATTACAATTCGAACCGGTACATCTCACCGGAGCGTCATTCTTGAGCCTGTGGAGAGAAGTTGCGCTACGCAGTTATCCAGTCACAACCGCTGGGTAGATGGATACATACGAAAGATAGTCCGTTGAAGCACAAGCACACATGCACAAGTTCGATGCTCTGCTAGTCTACAACAACTTGAAGTGATCCTCGTCCTCACATGGCAAGTCCAACATCTGAGAATTTGGGAACGACAGAAATGCCCTACGAATATCGGGATGCCGACAGTCGTCATCTACTCGCTACGAATTGACGGGAGCATACATTTGCCTACCTCAATCTCCAACATCGGGATATGGGCAGATGACGCATGCCCGTAGCCGTGTCTCTTCACCCATCGCCTTTTATCCCTTTCTCTTGCATGTTAGATGTGATGAATTCTACTGTATACCCTTTAGCAAATCAGTCTTCTTCCCGCTCTCTGTCCGCCTCCTCAGCCTACGCAACTTTGCAGCACATGGCTCCGGTGTTCGTGGGGTCTTGCGCTGGTAGTAATCTATTCCGCGGATTGGCTTTGATGATGATAAGGGGTCGTGGCTTGGTGGCACGTCTGACAAGCACTATACTTTTCACCCGACAAGGGAGAGAACAGCTACTTGATTACGTCGTGTTTACTTTGCCCCCATCTCCTCTTTGTCTAAGGCGCGAGTTGGCAAATACGGGGGGGCGATATCGGATTTTTGAGTAACCTCATATTTCTTCCCCATACCTTCCTAAAGACTCTATTCTACTCCGGCCCCTCCCCTCCCGTCTTCCGCTCTCGCTTCCCACATGACGGCATGTCTAGACTCGTTTGACTCATCTGTATTTTCTGTAGCCTCGGGTACGTCATGGTGCCTTTTTTGGGGAAGCACGAATCTCCGGCTATGAAGTAATCCCTAGGAAAAAGACGGGATTTCTCATCCAAGAGTCCAGATAATCGGGCCCGCCACAGCAAAGAAAGAAGACATGGGTCTTGAACAGAACAAGCCGTTGAGGAGGACAAGCAGGGGTCTTCCCAGGTTGTACGGGGTGAGGGGGAATGCTGATCGGGATTTTCGGTCTACGTCACCCAGACGCGCAAGGCGGAAATGTGGGCAACCACAAGGACAACGCGGAAGAGGGGCGTGAAGATAGGCACGATAAGTGGTGAAGGTTCTGCGGATTTGGTAGGTCACGATGGTCGATGATGAAGGCAAACTCTTGAAGTCAGGAGGCAGCATGTCTTGGAGATGAATTGTAGCGAACGCAGATGATGCTTACGGATGACGCGAGGTGGCGGAGGGCATAAGTCAATCAATAAAGATGACACTGGCTCTAGAACTAGTATAACCCCATAGGGGCCAGAGTGAAGGCGGCAGGCTGTTGGAGCAGGCGCCGGGATCTTGATCCCGGCTTGGGGTACCGACTACCCATCAGCCGACGACCATGGCGTATTTGCCCCTCTAGAGGAGCATGTGTTCCCACAAACTTAGTTGATGCCAGACAGAGGGGTGGATGACGTTTTCCATATCATATATCACACAAGGCCAGGGTGATGGCTTGTAGGAAAAGGAATCGAGAATCTTTGCTAATCTGTTTTTGAGAGACGAAAGAACCTTATGCCTGGGGGACCTATGTACATCTGTATACTCGCCCCGCCCGAAGCTACTACACGTATGAATAACACATCAAAGACCGACGTCTATGTGAAAAGAGATTGGAAAATGGAGACATGGGGTTAGGACAAGAGAGAGAGGCGCGGAGCTGAATCGCTCATATCGCGCTATTCTCACGCATCCTTGGAATCGGCCTGGGGCGCCACGAAGGGCTGGCCCTGACCCTTGAGGATGGGGAAATCGGCGAGGACTTGCCTCGTCCTGAGGTGGACGGGTGTGGAGTTCTTGGGCTGATCGGGGACGACCTTTTCGAGTTTCTGCTTAATGGTTAGCAAAAGCCTGATATAACTGCCTTGTAATTTGCCTTGGGGAGCTCAAGAGGACCCGAGGCAGATGGGGATCTTGGCGGGACGAATAGGCTGTTTCGGAGCTTTCTGGGGAAAGACGTACGAGGTTCTCGAAAACACACTTGTTCAGCTTCCACTCCTCGGGGCGGCACTGCCAAAGCTGCTGGTTACCCTCCTCGAGGCACATCCAATGCCTTCGGAACTCGTTCAAGCAATGTGTGTTGATGTCCTTGAGACTATATCAAAGAGCAGCGGTGGTTAGCTATTCGTAGTCGCAAAGAGGGCCCCCGTTTTGGAACCCAAGCGAGTGCGCGATACGCCCGGGTTCAGCAGACAAATAGGGAGATTCGTAGAGATGGGGTGGGGAGTGACGAACACGCTGGCGGCACATCTTGTGACCCTCCTTCCCTCCTTCATGCACTCGAGCTCGCCACGGCCGTTCGCTTCGGTCTTGCACTGCATGTAATCATCGTTGTAATCGCGGCACCGGGCGCCGATGAAGAAAGCGGCCGAGAGCAGCGGGGCGGACGTGGCACCAATCTCCTTGACGGGGGATCGAGTCGGGGAGAGGAGTGGTGTCGATGAGCACCTGCTGGTTGAACCTGCGGAAGAGGGTGAGAGAAAAAAGCGTTAGTCTACATAAATTTCGCTCAATTCGCAGCTCCAAGGTTCCACGGCCCCTCCCTCGAAAAAGCGCCTTGAGCTCGGCCCGGCAGCTGCCGACGATTCGAGGGACAGAGGGCGAAGCGGGAGAGCAGGGAGCCAATTGAGATCGCACCCGGGTGCTCTGGGTCGAGGGATTGCTTACTGAGTCTGTCGGGACGCCATGATGGACCGAGAGCGAGCTGCTGGGGGATCTGTCGTCGGTTGGTGGGGATGGAGAGATGGGTCGTATGGGTGTGATGTCGGAAACTTTGCTATTACCAACATGCGAAATTTGTTTGGTTGACGTTCCTCACCGAGAGCTCACCGAGATTTGGTGCCTAAGGCTACAACACGATATCCAGCGCCAGAGACGAGAGAAGGAGCATTAAAGTAAGAAAAGTCATAAGTTTCTCTTGGAAAGATACGTGAAAAATTAAAATGGGAGAATTACTATCGTGCAAATGGTATATGTGTATCTCTTTCAATAACTGGGCTAACTTTCATGTAGCCGAGGTTGTGATGGCTGAATGTCACCACTGCTTGAGCTGCTCTTCTAAGTCCTAGATTCCGGGTCCCGGCCATCGCTAACAGTGGTCAAGATTATGGAGCTCTTACGCGGTCCTCAAACCTGCTCGAGGCTCTGGATTGACCGAGAGTTATATCTACATCTGGCTCTTAGCGATCATGCTCCTTCGCATTTTAGATTTCCATAGTATAGACGTTGGTTGATAGCTAAAAGTGGAAGGTAGGGAGGTGTCAAAAGAAAGCATGCACGGTCCTAAGAGCCCAAGTTTTTCGTGGGGTTTTTTCGAGCACCATGAGCCTGTGAGAAGTGATGGATATTTGGCACATGCTGACTAACCTAATACAGCAACCGGCCGTGATTTTCGCACCACAACCTGGAGCCTCTTGAAAATTCGCGAAGCTCACGAAGCTCTTGATGGCCGCGCCAAACACACGCCGCCTTGCCACCGACGATCCATCTCATCAATCGCTCCTCCCTAGGTCTCGGAATTCTGCCATACCCCATCGCCTTATATTGTTCGAAAAACGTTTTTATCTTTTTTCCCAACAAGGTCGCGTCTCGGTAACCGGCTCTCGCCCTGGTCTGTCTCCGAGAACGGTTCTTTTCATCAAAACACGAACGGCCTCCTGCCGCTCTCCCTCCGATCCGCACCTCCCTCTCCTGCTCCAGCTACCAAAACATGTCGTCCATATTCGCAAGGCCCGCGGGCCAGTCTATATTCGGCGCTCCCCAACAGCAACAGCAACAGCAACAGCAACAGCAACAACAACAACTACTACAGCAACAACAGCAGCAGCAACAGCAGCAACAACAGACCATGCAGGGCAGCATCTTTGGCCAGACAGCGCCGATGGGAGGGCAAATGCAACAGCCTCAGCAGCAAGCACCACAGCTCCCCGCTCTCTCCCAGTCCCAAGCGCAGCTCTCCAGTTCACTGTGGCAGCCGGTTAAGGACACGCCCCGTACGTAGACTCACTCGTCACTCGTTGCCTCCTCCGCCGCGAAACGATGGCTGGACCCGACTTTTGTTGCCTCTCGCTAACTTGATACTTCTCTCGCGCAGACCAACGCCCCTTGACCGAACAGATCCAGCAACTGACCGAGAAATGGGATCCTGGGAACCCCAACTGCGTTTTCAAGCACTACTTCTACAACAAGGTGGACGAAACCAACATTCCCTTCTACAAGCCGCTGCCCCACGAGAACCCTCGCGAATGGGAAGAAGCCCTGCAGAAGAAGCCAGCACCCGGCTTCATACCCGTCATGTGCGCCGGTTTCACCGGCCTCTCGGATCGTCTAAAGACACAGAAGCGCGCGGTCGCTGACCTCAACACAAGGCTGCACCAGATCAATGGCGCCCTCGATGCGATCCTCTCTCGTCACGACCTTCAGACTAGTGTGAGAGCGGCGGCCGCCCGCCGGCGCCACACCGTGTTGCAGGAGCGTTGCATAGGGCTGGCGGCCAAGGTGCAGGTGCTGCGAAACCGGGGATACGCCCTCAGCGGAGACGAGGACCACCTCAGGCTTAAGCTCAAGAGCCTGGAGGCGTCGATCCAGGACCCCGCCCTAAGCGCCAAGGAGGAGGAGCTGTGGAGCAGACTCATCGTGATTAGGGGATACGCGGAGCGGTTGACCCAAGAGATCAACAGGCCCGCTTCCAAGGACGAGGGTCATCTCGACGAAGAGACGGAGATGAAGGCGAAGAAGGTTTGTCTTGCTGTCTTACTCCCTATCTTGCGAAGCACAGTGAATCTAACCGAATTACTTAGGTGTTGGAGGACTACGAGAAGCAGCTTCTACATCTCAAGAAGGAGGTCGAGACGATCAAGGGGATTTCGAACAATGGGAGAAGGATAGGGACTCCACGTCGTGATGAGTCGGGTATGAGCACGAGTTATGGGAAAGACTTGCCGCTGAGGCCAGGCTTATAGACCGGGTGATGCCAAGGGTGCATCTGCTCACCATCTTGTACAGGAACAGAGATACATGTAATGGAATGGTGTTTTGCCTACGTCTACGTGTGAAGGAAACGAAATCAAGATGAGGTGGATTGTTTCAGGTGATGACTAGCTTTTTTGTTGCTTTCTCTCTCTCACTGGGATTGCCCTACCCAGTGGGTTTGTATTGTACATTCTCGTCCTTCTATTTTCCTCATTACAGCCGTGACAATACGATGTTCCTACATGCGCAATAATACAACACATGCACAGATTAAAGTGCGTGCTCAAGATATAGAAAAGGGAAAGAGATGGAAACACGACGCCTGGTTCGGACGAAGGGGTGGTTGTGTTTCGGTCAAGGTCGCCACTCCGCGAGATTCCCGGGAATGCAGGCTGGGTCTCGTCTCGTCCCCCAAGATTGATCCTGCTTGGTTCAACGGGCTGAGTCGGGGCACACAACTTTGGATTCTCGGGAGGCGAAGTCCGAGCCGTCGGGGTATGCCAGGTTAGAACATGTGCTTGACAGCATCGATGGCATAAGGGGCTATGGGTGAGATTCATCATTAGCAACTCGTGCCTGGTCATCAATGGAAACAACGGCGGGTGGATTGGGCCGAGGAAAAGAAAAGGAATCAAACGCGTACAGAGGTAGAGGATGACGGCGGCGGCAAGAGAGCGCTGGACGGTAAAGGTAGCTTCGGCCTCAAGCTGCTTCATCTCCTCTTCAGAAATCTGGGGGCGCGACTGCGGTATCGGTGTTGGTTAGCTCTTATGCATCGGGCTCCGTTTCCATGCCATCGCATGCCAGGCTGCATGCGCGACGGCTGGCTCAGCTCCCCATCCCGTTTAGCTTGCTTGAGTGTACGTACATCCTCCGAACATTTTGGCAGAGTAAGTTGAATTAGAGAGTAGGAGTTGGATTCGATTCGAGCTATTTCGTGCGGACCGTTGTTCTTGGACGGGTTATGAGATCGATATGTGGATACTGGAAAGTTCGTGATGTTCCCTCTGATGGCTCAGCTTCGAAAAATTCGAAAGCCTGTCAAGGTGCAAGGAAAAAACCAGCTCTCGCCTCGCGTTGGCAATATTAGCCGAAGATCAGCCTTTCAGATCTTTGGCATTTGGTTGAGCCTATGGCCTCTCCTTATCTAGATAGCGCTACGGCGCATGGTCCGTGACCGACCCGTGACTTGAGCAAATGATTGAACACTGAACCGGGATGACGGTATTATCTGATATCCGGAAACAGCCGAGTCTACCCAGTCTCAGCAACAAACTTTTTTTTTTTTTTTTTTCTGTTGACCCTTGCCTGCCGTCAAAAGGAGGGTGAGATGGTGAGATAGCTCCGATTCCCTTGCCTTCCTGAAGGATCCACCTCACCCGTGATAAACCCCGGAAGGAAGGAACAGGCAGATAAGGTTTCCCCATCCATTCTTCCCAGTAGATTTAGTCTTGCCCTGCCAAAGAGAAGGGAAAATTAAGAAAAACCAGAAGGGTGCCGCTAGTCAGGGTTTCGCAGGGAAGTCGGCCGCTCTCAATTGGCTTTGATCTGACTCGTCAGTGAGAGTCTATTTCCCCCACCAAGGCAATTATCCCATGAAAGACGGGGACCCCCTTGGCTTCGCTGACCGCCGTTGAAATGCGCCCTTGCTCCGCAGTAAGCTTGTTGGCTTTAAGTAGGGAGTAGGGGCCAATACTTTGTAGAAATCGATACGACCTCCAGTCTCTGCTGCCATGACCCCTGGATGGTGTCATTATGGTGGGTGGCGTTATTGACTCAATTCGCCTCGGGTGACTCTTGGAGTACTTTGCTCCTTCCTCAGCAGAGCTCCTTCCATCTTCCCGCGCGCTAGACACGCAAGCCGAGGTGTACACCCGATCTCGGGCGGCGCTTTGAGCAGGAACGCTACATACCCACCGCCCCTCTCCCCGTGGGAGGTATAACATTGTATTCTTTTTTTTTTTTTTTTTCCGTTTCATCTTCTCTCTTCCCCTTCTCCTCCTAGACCAAGCCTAGCCCTTGAGAGAAAAAAACCAAGTGTGTGTTCCGGAAATTTCCAGCACCGGTTGATTTCACGTGCACGACTTGCACGGGCAAGGAAGAGAGAGAGAGGCTTTGGCCTTTGTAGGAAGACCAACCCCTCAATCCTATAACTTCGAGAGAACACCATGGCGATGCGAAGATTGACCACCCGGCGGGTGCTGCCCGCCGCCCCGCGCTTCTCAACTTACACCGCGCGCCTGCGACCTTCATCTTCACCAGTCTTGCGATCCCCAGCCGCGGCTTCCACCGGCGGCAATGGAGCCGCCGTCTTTGCTGAGCGTGTGAGGCCGCTCATGGTCACCGACTTGGACACATTCCCTCGCCGCCACATCGGACCCGACGATAGCGAGGCGGTGGAGATGCTCCAGGCCTTGTCGCCGCCTGCCAAGTCTTTTGACGAATTCATCTCTCAAGTCATCCCCGCCAACATTTTGTCCACTTCCCGTGAGCTTCTCAGCCTGAGTGGCAAAGCCCAGAGCCAGATCCTGGATGAGAGGGATGTGGCCCGTGAGGCCAACGAGATCGCCGAGAGCAACGAGAGCTACACCAGCCTCATTGGCGCTGGCTACGCTCCTACCGTCACCCCGGCGTGATTGCGAGGAACATTCTCCAGAACCCGGCTTGGTACACCAGCTACACACCGTACCAGGCTGAAATCAGCCAGGGCCGTCTTGAGAGCTTGCTAAACTATCAGACCCTGGTCTCCGATCTCACCGGCTTGCCCGTCTCCAACGCAAGTCTTCTTGACGAGGGAACCGCCGCCTCCGAAGCCATGACCATGTCCCTCAATGCCCTTCCTGCGTCTCGACAAAAGCGCCCGGGCAAGACCTTTGTCATCTCCGACCGCGTCCACCCCCAGACTCTTTCCGTCATCAAGAGTCGAGCTGAGGGCTTCAAGGTGGACTTGAAGGTGGTTGATGTATCTTCGCCCGAATCGCTTGACGCCATCAAGGCCCTGGGTCAGGACCTCGTTGGTGTGCTGGTCCAATATCCGGATACCAGGGGCCACGTACACGATTTCAGGAAACTCGCCGACGCCGTTCACGAGCAGGGCGCTCTCCTGAGCGCGGCCACCGACCTCCTCGCTCTTACCACGCTCACCCCTCCCGGCGAATGGGGCGCTGATATCGCGCTCGGCACTTCTCAGCGTTTCGGTATCCCCTCGGATTCGGCGGCCCCCATGCCGCGTTCTTCTCTGTCAAGGAAAACCTCAAGCGAAAGATTCCCGGCCGCTTGGTCGGTATCTCCAAGGATCGCCTTGGCAACAAAGCCCTGAGACTGGCGCTGCAGACCCGCGAGCAACATATCCGGAGAGAAAAGGCGACTAGCAACGTTTGCACTGCGCAGGCCCTTTTGGCCAACATGAGCGCCATGTACGCCATTTATCACGGCCCTGAAGGTCTCAAGGCCCAGGCCGAGAAACTTACGCATTGGGCTCGCCTTATCCAGGCTGTTTCCGAGTTCTACGGTATTGAAACGGAAAAGAGCTCTCTTGACCCTCACGGCCGTGTGCTCTTCGACACCGTCATCCTTAAGGCTGGAAACGCCACCCCCAGATTATCGACCGGGCCCGACAGGCGCGTATAAACCTCCGGGATCACGGAAACGGCGACCTCGGTATTAGCGTGAATGAGCAGCTGACCCCCAGGACCTCGAGATTCTTTTGGAAAAGGTGATCAAGGAGTCTGCCACGAAGAACCAATCTGTGTCCTACCAAGAGGCGTTTGAAGCTGCAGTCCAGCAAGTCGGCGCATCTCCGTCCTCCGAACTCCCCGCGACCGTGAAGCGTACCTCGGAATACCTCACTCACCCCGTTTTCAACACCCACCACAGCGAAACCGAGCTTCTCCGATACATCTATCACCTTCAGGCCAAGGATCTCTCGCTCGTCCACTCCATGATCCCTCTAGGCTCCTGCACTATGAAGCTCAACGGAACGACCGAGATGGAAATCATTACCCTCCCCGGCTTTGCGAACCAACACCCCTTTAGCCCCGCCGAGCAGAATCGTGGATACCAGCGCCTGATTGACGAGCTCGAGGAACAGCTCGCCGCCATCACCGGCATGGACGGCACGTCGATCCAGCCCAACTCTGGTGCCCAGGGAGAGTTTGCTGGTCTCCGGGTCATCCGAAAATTCCACGAGAAGCAGCCCGGTGCCAAGCGCGATATTTGCCTCATCCCGGTCTCCGCCCACGGAACGAACCCGGCGTCTGCGGCCATGGCAGGCATGCGCGTTGTCCCCGTCAAGTGCAACACCACTACGGGTAACCTTGACCTCGCGGATCTCGAGGCCAAGTGCAAGAAGCACGCGGATGAGCTCGGCGCCATGATGATCACGTACCCCAGCACGTTTGGCGTGTTCGAGCCCGAGGTCAAGAAGGTCTGCGAAGTTGTCCACCAGTACGGCGGCCTCGTGTACATGGATGGCGCCAACATGAACGCCCAGATTGGCCTGAGCTCCCCGGCGAGATTGGTGCTGACGTGTGCCACCTGAACCTTCACAAGACCTTCTGCATCCCGCACGGCGGTGGCGGCCCCGGCGTTGGTCCCATCTGCGTGAAGAAGGACTTGATCCCGTTCCTCCCCGGCAAGTCTCCTGAGGCCGGCGAGCCCATGGTCAGCAGCGCACCTTACGGCAGCGCGAGCATTCTCCCCATCAGCTGGGCCTACAACAAGCTCATGGGCACCGACGGTCTCCGCAAGGCCACGCAATTCACCCTCCTCAACGCCAACTACCTCCTCGCCCGCCTCAAGCCACACTACAAGATCCTCTACACCAACGAGAACGGCCGGTGCGCGCACGAGTTCATCCTCGACGCCCGGCCTTTCAAGGAGTCGGCTGGCATCGAGGCCATCGACATTGCCAAGCGTCTCCAAGACTTTGGCTTCCACGCCCCCACCATGAGCTGGCCCGTCGCCAACACCCTCATGATCGAGCCCACGGAAAGCGAGAGCAAAGAGGAGCTCGACCGCTTTGTGGACGCCTTGGTGGCTATCCGACAGGAGATTCGTGATGTCGAGGAAGGCAAGGTACCCCGCGAGGGTAATGTGCTCAAGATGGCCCCTCACCCCGTGGGCGATATCGTCGAGGGGGATGCCGAGGGCAAGTGGGATAGGCCCTACACGAGGCAGCAGGCCGCGTACCCCCTCCCTGGCTCAAGGAGAAGAAGTTCTGGCCCACCGTCGCGAGGGTAGATGATGGTGAGTAGCCTATTCCTTTTTCACTTTTTTATTCCTTGTTTTTGCACCTCTCACATGACAATAATGACTGACGATTTCGCGATTTTAGCCTACGGCGACTTGAACTTGTTCTGCACATGCCCTCCTGTCGAGGACACAACTCAGGAGTGAGCAGGGGTTTGCTTTTGGGGAATGCGCATATGATAAGCGCCGTGGCTTGCTCGACCAGGGCGTACGTACAACCTCCGCGTCCGATGGCTAATACGCTGCCATTTGCCCCTTTTCTTCCTTTTTCTTTTTCCTTTTTACAATTTCAACTTCATTCTGGACGGCCGCACAAATTCAACTTGAGGCGTCTTGGGGGACATGCATATTCGTTGCGAGAGAAAAAGTCATTGCCGGCATTTCCGGCCAACCATTCGGTCTCATTTGCTTTTCTTTTTCCTTTTTCGTCGAGGGCTCCGTTTACTTGGGAATAATCACGTTTCCTTTTGTTTTTCTTGTTATTTTCTTCCTTCTTACAGGAAGACTTTTGTTTTCTTCGATTAGAACAGATCGCTTTTTCGTCTCACCTTCAAGCGATTAGAATCCATCTTCAACCGGAATAGCTTAGACTCATTATACCACCTTTCAACGGGAATGACAACCGATTTTTCTTTCATTTTTTGTCTGGCTTCTCTCTTTCTCTCTCTTATCTAAACCTTGCCTTGAATGTTGTGGTTGTGCCATAGCTAGCCATGCCTTGTCGTCCTGCGTGCAATGCGGGTCGAGAGAGGGTTGCTTGTTACGTGTTGTCTTCAATCTTCGAATTCTATCCACTACGTGCGAAACTGCAAACACCTTTCTACGAGCCTATCACATGTCATGGAGGTTGATGTTCCCATGGAGCGAGTATGAAATGAAAGAATTTTGAATTCCCTTGACCCCATCTAAATCTAGCAAATCGTAAGAGAAGAAGAAGCTTTTTGCGGCATCTTCAAGTGGACGCTACATATCTGCCTGCCCACAGGCAAAAGACGGGAAAATGAAGAAAAGGAAATGAAAAAAAAAAAAAAAAGAGTTAACAGGCGTTAAAAAAGAATAAACAGATAAAATAAGAAGCGAGAGCATCACGCCTCAAAAACCAAAACCACGGAATCATCTCCCGCGGTCACGATTCTCTCCCCGTTTCGCCCTGCACGAAACCGAGCACACCACCGCCCTCGCCATCGCCGCGATGGCCCTTCCACTCTTTAATAAGGGCGCTGTCGGCGGCGGAGGCACCGGCACGTAGGTCCCACCTGCGGACGACGCCGTCCATGCCACACGAGGTGAGCTGCCACTGGCCCTTGACGAAGTCGACCTTGACGACAGCGTGCTCGCCGTGGGCGTGGTGGATGTGGCGACGGACGGCGAAGCGGCGAGAGGCGTCAAAGATGGCGATGCTGCCGTCGACGCTGCCCGAGGCGAGGAGGGTCGCCTGGGCGGCGGCGGCGGCGGCAGGGGTGGTGGTGGTGGTGGGAGAAGAGGTGGAGAAGGAGAGGGTCTCGACGGTGTCGGCCTGGGTGACGAGGGAGGCGAGGATCTGGCCGCCGGCGGAGGCTTCGGCGGAGGAGGCCTTGGCTTTGCCGCGGGCGGCGGCGGGCTGGGGCTGGGCGGAGAGGCGGGGAGGGAGACGATGCGGATGGCGCCGCCGACGCCGCCGACGGCGGCGTAGGTGCCCTTGGGCTCGATGGCGAGGAGTAGAAGCCGCCATCGACGGCGAAGCGCTGGTCGGCGCCGGTGAGGGAGAGGGCGGTGCCGTTGTCGCTGCCGAGGCCCTTGGCGGCGGCGAGGCCCCAGACGTCCCAGACGTACAGGGTGATGTCCTCGGAGACGGTGACGAGCAGGCTGCCGTCGGGGGTCCAGGCGCCGGCGGTGCAGGAGCCGGTGTGGAGGAAGTAGGACTGGGTGATTTGCAAAGGGTCGGCGCGGTCGGTGAGGTCCACCGTGTACACCCACACGGAGCCGTCGACGGCGCCCATGGCAAAGGTGTTGGGGTAGTCCGGGGAAGGGCAAGGGGTGATCCAGTTGACTTCGGGGACTTCCTGGGCCTCGGCGAGGAAGGCGAAGCGGCCGGGACGACCGGGGCGACGTCGACGGCGTAGGCGCGGAGTTTGCCGTCCATGCCGCCGGAGACGAGGACCTGGCCCTTGGGTAAGGTGAAGGCGAGGGCGGAGATGGAGTCGGCGTGGCCGTCGATCTCGAAGAGGGCCTCGAGGCCGGGGCGTTGGCCGGCGCTGGGGTCCGTGGGGTCGGCGTTGTAGCTGGCGGGGAGGACGGGGCGCGAGGGGGCGGCCGAGGTGTCGAGGACGTAGCCCTTGCCGGGGGCGTCGTCGGCGTCGCCCTCGGAGCCGCCGGTGGCGATGAGGGCGGGGTAGACGGGGTGCTGGGCGATGGCGAAGACGGAGTCCTTGTGCTTGTCGAAGTAGGCGATGGAGTCGTTGTGCAGGATCAGCTCCTCGTCGTCCTCGCCGTCCGAGTCCATGACCATGTCGTCGTCGTCGACCTGGATCTCCTCGTCTACCTCGTCTTGGTTGAGGACTTCATCGTCCGAGTGCTCGGGGTCTCTGTCGGGATTGTTGGAGGAAGACATGGTGTCGGTTTTTCTTTTTTCTTTTGTCTTTTCGAGTTATAGGCGTGTGTATCGAGGGAGGGGGAGGGGGTATCAAAAATGCGGGATGGGATGAGGATGGCGGGGTCGATTTGGGCGATGACGTCGAGCGCTGGAAACGAAAAAAAAAAAAAAAAAAAAAGAGGAAAAGAAGAATGAGCTTCAGAGAAGAATGAGGATGAGAGGAAAAAGGCCAAGATCCGAGAGACTCTCAGCTTGGAGCAATAGGCGCGAGAGCTAGAGAAACAAAAGACGGCGCGCGCAAAGTCGGGTGCTTGGTAATGGACCCTTGAAGGAGGGGCTCTCGGCGCAGCGTGTGGCGGCTTTTCGAGCTCTAACCTTTTTTTCTCGAATGCCCCGCAGCCAGCAAAAAAATAAAAAATTACACGGACTTGGGTGACGATGATTTTGGCGGGGTAACGTGAACCCACGCTTATCAATCAACCCTTTTCGTCTTCTTTTTCTAAGCAGTCTCGCCTTCCTTTTCCTCTTTGTCATGGCCTACGTATTTCGTGGAGGTAGGCAACAGTCTCATTACATGTGTCTTTCTCCCCCTCAGTTCTTTCTCTAGCTATTAGTAAACAGTAGAAGCCATCGTGGACACGTAAAAGACATTTCTGACCACGACTCTGGGCGTTGTCCCTAGTGGATAGCAATGAGAAGACCGGATGGAACCTTGAGTTCTAGTATTTCTTCGAGTTATGTAGGTTATTATCTGCCCGGTTGCAAAATGGTGCTATCGTCCCCATTCGAGGCAGGCTACACCATATCTTCTTCCGAGGCACAACAACATGCGGCTAACATCTCCTACCCTACCTTGAAACCTTGGTAGGAGGGGAGAAAAGGCACGGGGAAAAAGCACCGTAAACAAGTCTATGCCCATGAAATAGTCTATACCGTAACGTTCCGTTACACCGTTTCGATATATCGCTTTACTTCCCTATAAAAGTAGAAAAAGTTAGTTAGATGAGAGAAACTGCCACCAAGAGAATAGCCAGATGAGAGGAAGGGGATGGAAAGGGTGTGATATGCGTAGGCGGGTACAAGGGGGCAAAACAACACGCATTCAAAAACGTACCAATCGGTAACGGCTTCATTCCACAGCCGAATCTCATGCTCCCGCGTGCCTCCGAAATGCTCCACAAAGTCATCCCCAAACACCTCCCTCGCCACGCTACCCTTGCTCATAAAGCGCTCCGTAGCCGCGTGAAGGCTCCTGGCCAACCTCTCCCCGGCATCCGACTGCCCGCCCACATCCTCGCCCTTGCCGAGCGGCGGGCAGGGGATCGCCAGCTTCTTCTCCACGCCGCGCCAGCCCAGCCCGAGGATCGCGGCCAGCACGAAATGAGGGTTCGTGTCGGCGCCGCTGACCCTGATCTCGAACCGCGTCGCTCCCGGCTTGGACGTAGGCGGCGCGATGAGGCGGATCGACGCGGCACGGTGCTCCAGCCCCCACGACACCGTCACGGGCGCCCAAAAGTTCTCCACCAGACGCTTGTACGAGTTTACGGTGGGGCCACCAGGGGCATCACGTCGGGAAGGCCGTCGAGGATGCCCGCGAGGAAGTGCCGTCCCAGGTCGGAGAGTTGGGCAATGTCCGGCCACTGCGCGTCCGGGTCGGGCTCGTCCCGCGCAAACAGGTTTTTCCCTCCTTATCGACGAGGGAAATGTGCATGTGGCCGCTGTTTCCGGGAAGGCCTTGCCTGGGCTTGGCCATGAAGCAGGGAATGATGCCGTACTTGGTCGAGACGGATTTCACAACGTACCTAGGGATTTTCCGGTTAGCATAGCTACAGGGGGTTTATGGGGCTTCAAATTTTACTTGAATAAGCTGGCCCGATCCGCCATTTGGCCGAGCTCTCCAAACTCGAGCGCCGCCTCAAACACGCCCGGCCCGCTCTCCGTGTGCCAGCCTTCGATATTGCAGTGGAATTTCTCGCAGGTCTCGAAGACGTCGTAGTAGTAGGCTTGATTGTGCACCGGTCTCGTCAAGCTGTAGCCAAACATGCCCTCGGTGAGCGACGGGAGGGACTGCGGTGGGTTATCGCGGAGGTAGCTCGCGGGGAGACTTCCGAAGTGGCATCGGGGGTTTTGAACTGGTAAAATTCGTACTCGGCTGTCGAGGATCGCGCAATTAGACCTCCGAACGATGTACTTTTGCGCCAAGAGGTATGTAAGAGGAGGAGGGGAGGAAAGATGGGAATCAAATGATTTGGGAACTAGACCAGCGCAATGAAGGGCATGGGAACAGGAGTCTCGACTTACCTCCAGCCATGGCGCCGTAGCCCTTCTCCTGTATCCTTTCCAGCATGGTCTTGACCAAACCCCTCGGACAGGCGCACACAGGGGCCTTGGTGTCCGGATCGAAGAAGCTAACGAGGAAGAAGGGCACGTCATCTTCCCAGGGAATGCGCCGAAAGCTCGACAGGTCGGGCACGGCGATAATGTCGCGGTAGCCGTTCTCCTGATTGCTGACTTTGAGCTCCCGACCGTAGGTGAGATCGTGCATGTCCCAGCCAAAGATGACGGAGCAGAAGCCGAAGCCGGCCTCGGCCACGGACAAGAACTTCTTCTTGGACACGAGCTTGCCGCGGAGGATACCGTCTACATCCACGCCGGCGAGCTTGACCTTGGTGTCATTTTCTAGGAGCTTGGGGAGGGACTCGACAGTGAGTTCTTGCGCTTCGGCGGAGGCCATGGTGGGCGAGGGGGGCAATCGCTTGGCACCAAGAGGGTTATTGCGTGGGCCTGGATTCCCGAGACTTTGGTGCGAAGCGGGGGTTGAATGCGAAAAGAGGAGTCACCAGAAGAGGTGAGGCCGAAATAGCTAGAGCTAGGGGAATAAATATTTTGGAGAGAAGAGATAGCAATGGAAACCAGTGTTGAACTAGGGAATTGAGCCGTTGAGGGCGAAGAGCAAGGCAAAAACAAGGAAAAATGCACAGAGGACAGAGGTTGGTGGTGCTGGTGGGTAGAATGGGGCCGAGTGGGCGGTGGTGGGATGGATTCGTGTGACACACGACAATATCGTGTCAAGTGTCCATTATCTCTTGCTGGCTTCTTCAACGGAGCTACCAAGTATTGAGGTGTGGTCTAGGTACGAAAGTTGTAGTGGAGTGGACAATGCCATTGACAATGCGTACAACGCGCGTGTGGTGACCGGCGCACACCGTTTCCGGTTCCTGCCTTGGCAAAGAGCTAATAAATCCCCGTCTTCAATGTTCCCACAAGCGTGGCAACGCCGGTTCAAGGTGAGAGCTCTGGAGAGCACTTGAGGGGGGACCTTTCCCAGGGCCAACAGGGGGCGGCTGAAGCGGGCGCTGGTGCTGACGATGAACCACTCGCTCACCTCAAGCTCCACTACGTCACAAGTTCCCGAGGCTCCAATGTTGGCTTGAGTGGCGCGTCTCAGTTCCAGGCTTGGACCATGGATGGACGGAAAGGTTCGGCGCCCCGTGATCTGCTGTGTCACGGCTCAATTGATCCATATCCTCAACCGTCAATCCGTCCAATTCGTCAACACTTCAGCCATCCAGGACCTATGGATATCGACTTGTAGCTAGGCCATGTCACTGCTTGTCTCCCGGATTTTCCAAGGTGCTGACCGTTGACCGCTGACCGCCAACTTGCTCACCGAGAAAAAGTACATCGCCAACCTTAATTATGGTTCCCAGACATCGCGCCACGTTTGTTACTACGCTCGTTGGGGACATAATGGTTTGTGTTGAACTTGATTCTCGGTATTGAAAAAACAAAAATGCGAAACAGTTTGGAGGGGTTTTGGGAGAGTTCCTTGAGTTCCTTGGAGGATTGACCAACATTAGTCGTGTGCTCGGCAGCGCATCTGTGGCTTTGTGGATCCTGTCCTCTAGAGAGGGGCCATTCTTATTATCATGATGACCGCGGTGGCCGTTCCTTCCCAGCTCAAATGCTTATCTTCTTATCAAGCACATTCATTTTTCTTTCGTGCTCCACTCTGAGTAGAGCTCCCCACTTCACTCCGTTTTGGAACTCGCTCCTTCCAAACCAGGCCCGTGTCATGGGCTGTCATGGGCAGGAACGAACCAACCCTTTCGCTCGCTTCAGCACGATCGTCGGGAGTTTACAGGGACCACAGTCTAGAATAATAGAGACCACATGCAGCCAATCGATCCAGCATTTCTCTAACACTGTTATTAGATATCGGGCTTCGTAGCCGCCAGTGCCACCGTTTATCTTGCTGCTAATCGAGAATTGGGGGTCCTCTCGCTCGCTCCGCACATCCGCACATACCCACCCTGGACTACCCCACATCACCCCTCCTTGTGACTTGCTTCCCTAGACCACTCGGCCGACTCACCCACCACACACTCCTCGCAACTGTTAAACTGTTTTGCGCACCGCGTTTTTGGCTTCCGGGCTTCGGTCTATTCCCATCTTTCCTGCAGCAAGAGAGAGAATCGCCCGCACATCCACAACCAGCCTTCTCCTTCTACGCGCCATACTGTTATAAACTTCATTATGGCTTCCGCATCCGTCCCGCGCGGCCGCCTTGCCGGCAAGAACACCATTATCACCGGAGCCGCTGGGTAAGCCGCCCCTCTTGTAGAACCGGCCCACCTCCTTCGCCGCTTCATCTGCCGAGGCCGATCTTTTACTCGGTCTAACATCGTGTTCAGTGGCATCGGTCTCGAAACCTCGATTCTCTTCGCCAAGGAGGGCGCCAATGTCCTCATGACCGACCTGCAGCCCGCCGCCCTCGAGACCGCCGTGAAAAAGGTTCTGCAGCTCGTCCCCAACGCGGGGCGTGTTGAAGGAAAGGTATGAATCCCTATTCCCTTGCCGTTGGTCAGGGAGCAGTAAATAAACCTGGAAGCGCAATATGGTGTAGGTCTGCGACGTCTCCAAGGAAGCCGACGTCAAGGCCGCTGTCGAAGCCCTCGATAGCTGGGGCGGCCTCGACGTCATGTTCAACAACGCCGGCATCATGCACGCCCGCGACGACGACGCCGTCAACACCCCCGAGGAGATTTGGGATCTCACGCAAAACATCAACGTCAAGGGCGTCTGGTACGGTTGCAAGCACGCCGTGCTCTCTCTCCGCCGCCACAAGAAGACGCGCGCCTCCATCATCAACACCGCCAGCGTCGTCGCCCTCGTCGGCGCCGCCACCCTCAGCTCGCGTATACCGCATCCAAGGGCGCCGTCCTCGCCCTCACCCGCGAACTCGCCATGGTCCACGCCCGCGAGGGCTTCAGGTTCAACTCTCTCTGCCCAGCTCCGCTCAACACCCCGCTCCTCCAGGACTGGCTCGGCGACGATAAGCACAAGAGGATGAGGAGGGAGATTCACTTCCCCATGGGCAGGTTTGGCGAGGCTATCGAGCAGGCTCAAGCCGTTGTCTTCCTTGCCAGCGATGAGAGCAGCTTCGTGAATGGTCACGTAGGTTTCCGGCCCCGCTCCTGTACGCCGGAATAAAGTGGATGGAGACTGACCCCTTTTGCGCAGGACTTTGCCGTTGATGGCGGCATGACCAAGGCCTACGTGACGTCCGAGGACCCTCCGACGCTGGCCCCCGTGAACAACGCTCTAAAAGACTCTTTGGACTCGTAGTGGAATCTTTCATGGGAACAACATGTTAATGCGAAATCGTAGATGTGATTCACGCAATAGAGTAGTGGTTTCCTCCTCACACCATTGTCCTCGGCTCACTAAAACTGTGATGACGTGTAACTATCCTCTGGTGGGTTATTGAACATGTCCAGCTAAAAGGGCGCCATTTCAGGAATATACCCATCTAGAACCCAGCCGGGTGCTCTTGACTCAAACGCGCTATTCACTAAAGACCATCCATTATTTGAAACGTCAAGATGTGATATAAAATCTCAGGACTATGAATAAAAATCATTGAATGTACAGACAACCAAAAGTAACGCCGCCCATATGCATATATACACATTCTCCGCTCTTTTTCAACCTCCGCTTCTCTTTATTAACCAAAAAAAGAAAAATCTTAGACTACGCCAAGCCTAGTGGAACTGGCCCTCGGTGTTGCCATCGCCCATGCTCTTGCTCGTCGAGTTACCCGACTTGATGGCACCCATGATGCCGTCCATGTACTTGGCCCCGCTCCACTTTTGGTGCGTGAGCACGTCGCAGCCGAGCTCCTTCTCCTTGCGCTGGACAATATTGACGTAGGCGAGCATGCCGTCCTGCTTGAACTCCTTGGCGAGCTCGTTGGAGATGGTGGCGGTGGAGTGGAGGCCGGCGAGGGAGATGAGCTGGAGGACGAAACCCTCGCGGGCAATGTCCCAGATGAAGGACTTGAGCTTGGCGTCGGTGAAGCCGTGGGCCATCCAGTTGAACGAGGGGCTGAGGTTGTAGACGAGGCCCTTGCCGGCGTGCACGGCGCGGACCTCGCGCGCGAGGCCGGCGGCGACCTCGACGTTGGGGTCGCCCGTCTCGACCCAGAGAAGGTCGGCGTACGGACCAAAGGCGATGGCGCGCTTGGTCGCGGCAGCCATGCCGGCGCGGTAGTGGTAGTAGCCCTCGCTGGTGCGGGGCACGTCCCACGAGAAGTAGACGGGCGAGGCGGTGAACTTGCCGGCGAGCTGGCGACGGGCGGCCAGGCCCATGTCGCGGTTGGCGCGAACAGCGGCGCGGTACTCGTCGATCCGGGCCTGGGAGACGCCCTCCGCCTCCATGTGCTGGACGGCGGCCTCGTCAAAGGTGACGAGGGGCGTGCTCTTGACCCAGTGGGCCTCGTAGGCGTCGATCTCGGCCGAGGTGGCGCCGTGGGCCTCCATGGACTGCAGGGTCTCAGCGAGGGGCTGGACGGAGGGATCGGCGACGCCGAGCACGAACTCGTGGTCGCGGACATCAATGGTGCTGCTGATGAGCTTGCCGCTCTCCGAGTCGGTGCGGGCAATCACGAGGTTTTCGCAGCCCATGACGTCCCACTGGAAGCGGGCGGCGACGAGGCGGTTGATGTGCTCGCCGATGGGGACGAGGACTTTGCCCGCGAGGTGGCCGCATTTTTGCCGCCGTGGAGCTGGTCCTCGAAGTGGACGGCCGCCGCGCCGTTCTCGGCGAAGAGCTTGGCGAGCTTGAGGACGGCGGTGAGGCCGCCGTGGCCGGTGTCGCCGTCGGCGATGATGGGGCGGAGGTAGTCGACGTAGGGGTCTTGGCGCGCTGCTCGGCCGTCATGCCGCGGCGCTCGTCCCACTGCTTGCGGTCGTGCATCGACTGGGCCTTGGCGAGCCGCTGCACTTGGTTGGGGACGGTGTTATAGGGGTAGTCGCCGAAATCGGGAGACACCTCGTTGGTCGTGGTGAGGAGGGACGAGCAGGCCCAGCCGGAGATGTAGAGGACTTCTTGGTGGGGAGCTTGCTGCGTCATTTGAACGGGGTCGATGGCGCCCACTATTGCCGTCGAGTTAGCATTGTTTTCAAATCTTGAATTTGGGGGCTATGGTGTCATCTCCATTCAAAGGCCGGAGGACAATAGGGGGCTCACAGGGGCACATCACGTACTGGTATGGATGGGCTCGCCGTTGGCGCCCCGCTCCTTGACCAGGTCAAAGAGCTTCTTGGCCATGACAGAGCTAGGGTAGAGCTGTTGTTGGGTTCCTCTCTTGGTCGCGACATCTTCTGCAGAATACGGCCTCTTGATGCCCTCGTACCGGGAGTCTTCCACCACGCCTCGATCTCGGCGACCTGGGCGTCGAACAGGGCGTCCTCGGCGGAGCCAGTCTTGTCGGCCTCGCTGAGGAGCTGGAACGAGTCTGGTGTGGCGGTGGTGGTGGTAGTGGCTGGCATCATGCTGGGGGTCGCGTGTCGAAAGGCAAGTCTTGGCGTGGTCGAGAGGAACCTGGCGGTACGGACGGACGGAGATATAGTCGGCCTCGCGACAGCAAGCCGGCGGGAGGATCGAGTGACGTTCCTCGACAGCATTGTGGGCACGACAAAAGGTGCCGGGAGGTGGGCGTAGAACAGCGCTGGCGTTCCGACAAAAAAAAAGGAAGAATGATTTCCCTCGATGAAGGGCAGAGACTCGACAATGAACTCGTGAAGGAGAAAAGAGATTATGGAAAGGGGAGAGAAGAAACTTTCCAGGTTCTAGAGGGGACGGAAGAAAAAAAAAGGAATCCGAGTATACCTCCAGCTACGTTGAAGCTTCCCTTCGGACGAACGCTAAAAAGGCTGGTGACCGGTGGCGGCCACTGGACATGAATGGTAAGACCGGTTGCTCGGTATTCGGAATCCGAGGGGACTTTGCTCTGGATCGGCTTAGTCACCGGCGGGGTGAAAGGATGGAGAAATGTGGGCAGTGTGTTTATTGGCCAATCGGCCTGCCCTTCACCCGCAAAACGGACCCCTCAGGACGGCTTGCCTCGGCTCGCCGCCATGTGCCTCTGCTCCGGTCTCTCTCTCGTCCCTCCCAGCGGAGTAGCACTGTGGAAGTGAGCCTGGGGTAGTGGCAGGCTTGTGACGTGATGCTGGGGGTCCTTTTGCTGGTGGTTGGCGGGGGAGGGGCCCGTTCACCTCTTTTGGTGCAGCCGGTGGCTTATGCCCGCTTGTGACAATGGCCGAGATACTTGAGGAACAGCCGAGTACATGCGAGCATTTGTTGGGGAACCTTCTTCTTTTTCTTTGTTCCTGCTTTTTTTTTTTTTTTTTTTACTTCAACTATCGTCAGTCAATTGCGTTTCTGCATTCTCTGGGAGCTTCATCCCCTCATCTCTCACATTTCCTTTCCCCGCATCCCGCCTTTCGGTCACATCTCAATTATCCCCCACCATCTGCTATCCGTTGATCGGCCTGTGCGAATATTTCCTTACCGCTTCCACGGCTCCGAATTGTAGCTCGCCATGTCTACTTATCTGAGGACCAACACCCGGGTCATGGGCGCCGTCAAGGTATGAAGCCGTCTCCAAGCATAGTCCTAATCCATAGTTTTTACTTTTGTCCGCACCCCTTTTTTGATTGTCCATCGTCGTGGAAACTGACAATTGCGCTTCGCTCCCATGTTAGGCCCAGCCCTGGAAGGTTGGCTGCGTTGCCGCCGGCCGCAGCGTCATGAGGACTTATTCCTCGAGCGCCGAGCCCGACTTGAAGACCACTCTCAAGGAGGTCATCCCCGCCAAGCGAGAGCTTCTCAAGAGGGTCAAGGCCCACTCCGACAAGGTCATTGGCCAAGTCAAGGTCGAGAACACCCTCGGCGGCATGCGAGGCCTCAAGGCCATGGTATGGGAGGGTTCCGTCCTCGACGCCAACGAAGGCATCCGGTTCCACGGCCGCACCATCAAGGACTGCCAGCGCGAGCTCCCAAGGGCAAGACCGGCACCGAGATGCTTCCCGAAGCCATGTTCTGGCTCCTCCTCACTGGACAAGTGCCTTCCACCAACCAAGTCCGCGTGCTCTCGCGAGAGCTGGCCGAGCAGGCCGCCCTCCCCGAGTTCGTCAACAAGATGCTTGACAACTTCCCCAAGGACCTGCACCCCATGACCCAGTTCGCCATGGCCGTCTCGGCCCTCAACTACACCTCCAAGTTTGCCAAGGCGTACGAGGAGGGCCTGAACAAGGCCAACTACTGGGAGCCCACCTTTGACGACTGCATCTCGCTGCTCGCCAAGCTCCCCACCATCGCCGCCAAGATCTACCAGAACGCCTACCGTGGCGGCGGTGCCCTCCCTGCCGAGGTCGACCTCGAGCAGGATTGGTCGTACAACTTTGCTGCCATGCTCGGCAAGGGCGGCTCTGAGAACGAGGCTTCCAGGATCTTTTGAGGCTGTACCTCGCCCTCCACGGAGACCACGAGGGTGGCAACGTCTCGGCCCACGCTACCCACCTGGTGGGCAGCGCTCTCAGCGATCCCTTCCTCAGCTACAGCGCCGGCCTCCAGGGTCTCGCCGGACCCCTTCACGGGTAAGTCGAACAATTGTTTGGGATCGATTCCCCCGATGATTCGAGCCTAGAGGTAGTTATCTGCGGGAGCACGGCTAACATGACGATGAATTTGAATAGACTTGCCGCGCAGGAAGTCCTCAGGTGGATCATCCAGATGAAGGAGGCCATTCCTGCCTCCTACACGGAAACTGATATCCACGACTACCTCTGGTCCACGCTGAACTCGGGTCGTGTCGTTCCCGGATACGGCCACGCCGTTCTTAGGAAGCCCGATCCCAGGTTCGAGGCCCTCATGGACTTCGCCTCTAGCAGGCCCGAGATCGCCAAGGACCCCGTCTTCCAGCTTGTCGCCAAGAACAGCAGGATCGCCCCCGAGGTGCTGAAGAAGCACGGAAAGACCAAGAACCCCTACCCCAACGTCGACTCCAGCTCCGGAGTCTTGTTCCACCACTACGGCTTCCACGAGACCCTGTACTACACCGCAACCTTTGGCGTTTCGCGAGGTCTTGGTCCTCTCGCCCAACTCATCTGGGATCGTGCCCTCGGATTGCCCATCGAGAGGCCAAAGAGCATCAACTTGGAGGGTCTCCTCAAGGCGGCTGAGAGTGCGTAAGGAGATAGAGCGAGAGAGCGTGAGAGACTGAGAGAAATGAAGGGATGTGGAGAGGGAGGCAAGGTATGGTGGAGGACGGATGGAAAACTTCGAGGGCCCCGAGTCGAGGCCACAGACGCAGATGGCGCGTGCAAACTCACGATGAAGAAAGAAAAAAAGACAAGGACTAGAAGACCGATTGGATAAAGGCAGAGGTCTGGTGGGGATTTCAGATCACCAATACAAAGTGATGTTATTTTTGATACCACCTGTCTAGACCCCCTTTCTCCACACAAAACATCATCAAAAGATCCAAACAACTTTCTCGTTCAATATATTAAATGGCCAAAATTCTTGGGAAACCAGGCCACCGTTCTCGGGTATCCGGCCAAGGCTCTAACTCGCAGCCGCACTAATCCATCGCCGATGGGACTAGCTCTCTCGGCGCTTTCGACGGGGCTCCACGCGGTGCGGCCAGATCAAGTCAAGATGGTGGAGGCGAGCATCGTGGAAGAGAGATCAGCCGATAGAGTGCGTGCCTGCTGCTACCAGCGACGACATGTATTCTCCGAGGGCCTTTTTTCACGCGGTGTCCCGCTTGGCTAGTCAAGTGACGAACACGAGTGGGCTGGGGGTGACAGAGCCGCTGACGGCATCCACCCAGAGAGAGAGCAAAGGCCGCGGCCGTCCGAACGAAAGAATGCATGGTTCAACCTATGGGCGATTGGCCCTGGCAGCTGCAGTCGGTTGAAGGTATGAAGATAGATTAAAGATGGGTGAAGAAAAGTTGGGAGGGCGTGTGAGAAGGGCATCGCGACAGCACAACAAAAAAAAAAAAAAAACAAGAAAAAACGGCAGGTGAGTTAATATCGAACCGCGGCCGTCTTTATATATTTATATGCTAGCCCCAGTTTCCAAAGGACCTGTTCGGAGGCACCTAGTTTCTATTCTTGGAATGCCTTCTTATTCTCCCTTTTCTCTTTTTCCCCGCCATCCTGGATCCGGGCCTTGAGAAGGAGGGGGGGAGGAGAAGAAGAAGGTTTGGCGGCGGACTAGTGACTCGCTCGGTGGTTAAGTTCTCGTTCGGGGAGAGCGAGCCCTTGCGTGCATGATGTTTTGCCTTCAAACCGCGAGTGCCCCCGTCCCCCGTCCCTGTGACAAGGGGAGGTGCTTTCGCGCGCGTCGCGTATTGGACACCATTTCTCAGGCACGGTGACCCGGGAATCCCATATCCCATGTGCCATGTCAGGGGCAGCGGCGCGCGCGCGGGGAGGATGGAACCTTGAAGGAGTGAAGCGAAGGAGATGAGTGCACGGGTGGAGATGATTACTGGGGATTCTATTTTTCTGTTCTTTCTTTATTCGCCCCCATTCGGGCCTTAATGAGATTTGTGGTATGGAGGTTCATCTGGCTTCATCTGGGGAAGGCGTGATGAAGGGATCAGGAGGGAGGGAGGGAGGGAGGGGGTCTACGGCGTTTGCCACCTCCTAGTCCGATTCTTAGGCTACGTTGGAGCTGAGGGCTTCCGTAGACTTCTCACGATATCGGATCTCTCTTCATTCTACAGGAGTAGTCTGCAAGCTTCACGGCTCCGAAGCCCGGAACAGTGATGGGGATGGCAAATCAAGCGAGGTCCAAACAAAAGGTTGGTCGGGCCTGTGATCCCCGCGGTCACTGGAGGACCTTTCGACGTTGCCCCCTCCCCCAACCGAAGGAGCACCACGGTCTAGAGGCTTGCCACCGGCGATCTCCAGAGCGTTGGGCCCCTGGCAGTTGGCAAGATAGATGCAGATAGAATATCACGGGGGAGGGCAGCGTTGGAAAGGGAAGAGAAACGTGGCAGTGGCAGGAGTGGCGCGAGAGAGTGGGAGGAGGAGAGGGAAGAGGGCCGGCGTTGCCTGTCGGTCTGACCGGCGCGAGCTAGCGGCGAAAGGGAGGTCGGGCACTCAATATGGAAAATGTGGTGCGAGGCAACACGAACCTGAATGCGCGACGGGGGCCAGACGATTTGCGGTATTGGTGCGTGCCCTGAGTGTCAGCGAGGGGAGGCGAGTGACGTTGCCCTCCCGCTTCTTCCCCTAGCAAAAGACAAAGGGAAGAAAAAAAAAAGGCATTGAATCGACTGGCGCCTCAAGGCCGCCCTTTGTCATAAACCACGAGGTGTGGGTGGACGCGGAGGCGGGCCAAGTAAATTGAATGGAAGAAAGCAGAACATTGAAGGACGACAAGGCTTTGAGGAAGAAAGACTGGCTCGGCAAGGTGACCGGCTATTTTGCATCGGCACGAGAACTTGAATCCGCCCCCAAAAGGGAAAAGGGCAGAAAAGAAAAAAAAAAGGGCCATCAGCCTGCCGTCAAGGGATTCAGACTGGGCTCCCCGGCAACGGCTCGGTGGTTGTATATTCGCGTGTAGTTAAAAAGGAACGGAAAGGCACGTACTAACGGGCCAATGTCGACAGTGCAGCAGTAACGCACCCTCCCGGGCTTGCGAGCCCTCAACGATGACCAGGATTCTAGGGCAAAGGAGTATAGTGGAGGAGATGTAGAGAGCGAAGCCAGAGTGCAGAGTCGAAAAAGAAAAAAGGGGAAATGGCAATAAACCCACCAGACTGGAATGCGGGAGTCCGGCAAAAGTGAAAGGAAGCCATCACGAAAGGAGGCTGGGTCCCGTTTCTTAATCCGTGCCCCAGACACTCTGTTTTCGATCTTTATCCACCCTTTCTTTCCCCCTACCGTACTTTTTCTTCGTTAAAGCAGCAAGGCGGAATAGCTAGCCCTTTTTTCATGCGCAGAATTGCCCCCATACTCGGCGTCATCAAGAGGCTCAAGCAGACTAACGAGCGACGATCCAAGCCGATGGGCATCTTTGGGCGCGGCTAGGTCAGGTCTCCCTCACAAAGGTTCTCGCACCGGAGCAAGTGGCCGAGAGATGGCGGCTCAAGATTGAGGGTCCAAAGACTTGCCTCTCACATGGCCTTCGGAGCGCGGGGGAGGACAATAGGACAATGGTCTTTTTAGTTCCCGTCTCCTTTTCTTAGGGCCCGCGTAGCACATGCCCGTCTTCAAGTGGTCTCTTCATGCAGGGGCCTCAGGGGCTCCCGGAGCTCGCCTCTATAGGGGAGTGCCGCGGCATTATGACGGGCTTGCATCACTTTTCAAGATGCGTGAAGAGTGAAATGAAGGGCTGATGCGGGACGGGGGCCCGGGGCTGGTTCTATACCGGGGTATTCAGCTACAGAGGCGGGTTGCTGACGGGCCTATGATCACGGTGACGCCGCTGCATAGACAATGAGCATACTGATGAGGATGAGAATGATAGATCTAGCAATATAGCATGGTGCAGTAAGACGAACAGCAACGATGCCCCCTCCTCTCCCTCTCCCCCTTGACCCTTTGACCCCTGATGTTAATATACAGGCTTTAGAGACGCTGACGACTCGCGGCTGCTCCTCATGCTCCGCCACCTGGCGAGCGACCGGCCTCAGCGCCGAGGGTTGTCTGCGAACCGGCGAGTAGGTTATTGGATTCCTGGTAGGAGGGTGGGTGAGATATCCCCCCTCCCCCTTCCTGTCGCCACGATCTCGTGCGTGCGGGGACGGGCAGAGAGAAAGAGAGAAAGTGTGTGTGAGCGTGCGTGAGGGTGAGTGTGCCTCCTGTGCAAACCGGGACGATCCAGCCAGCTCGTCAACGCCGAGCAATTAAGCTTAATCTACGAGTGGCAACAAAAATAGCACCTGGGCAAGGGAAAAGGAAAAGGAAAAAAAAGAAAGAAAAATACTCTTTGGGTGTGGTGGGCAGGGGCGGCCTGGCCTGCCCGGCCGAGGGCTCTCTCCTGACGAATTTCAACACTTTAGGCGGCGACCGGAGGGGCATCTTCTCTTGCTCGTGAAAGGGGTGGGGACGACACTCGCTCTCTTCCGACTCGATTGCCAGCGTACGCTTAGGGCAGATCATGTGGCGGGACAAGGACCGGGTGTACGTCGGCGGCGGCGACATTACATTCTTTTTCTTTTTTCTTTTTCTTTTCTCTGGGTCTGGCATCTGCCCACTTTTCTGGCGAGATCTTTGCCCATGGCCGTACGACACGGGCGAGGATGATGCGGGCCATTTCTTTTCTTTTTTTCTTTCTTTTATTGGTGAGGTCAGAGGAGGAAGGGGTAGTAGGTAGATCGGGACTAGTGAGGGCAGGCCCCGAAGCTGATCCTAGGACCGGGGCCCGGCAAGGCGGGAGGGCGTGGCATGGTGATGAATTACGTTGGAGTACGGTGGCCTCCCTCCCTCGTTTCTCTCATTCTCTCTCTATACTCTCTCCCTCATAGCTCCACTCCATCAACTCCCTCCCTTGGCCCCTCCCCGGATTTTGGTCGGATGGAACCTGGGGCAGACCACGAGGTGGCCAGGTCGTTACTGCGAAACGTTGGGAATATTACCAAGGACCGTGGGCGCCACTGCCAACTTGGGATTGGGACGGAGCCAAGACATCCACCCTGTCTTAGGAAAACGGGGAGAAGATTCTACATACCACTTCCCTCAAGGCAAACTATGGATCGTACTGTCGTCATGACGAAGGGGGAGTGGGCACCGGAGTGAGAGGAAACCGTTCCCCTCTCCTCCTTTACAGCGCGCGGGGGGAAGAACCTTGCTACCATGGGGCTCGTGGAGAGGAACTTGGAATGATAACGGAGGCAAAGATGAGTGGGAGCAAATCTTGGGGCGCGCCGAGGCCGAAGGTACAGGGGAAGAACCAATGGTTGGTTTTCGGCTTGGCGGTTCCTACCGAAGCAAGCAAGCAAGTAGCAGCAGCAGCAGCAGCAGCAGCAGCAGGTAAGGTGGATGCACGCCATGGTTCATGGGGCTGTCGAAACAGGGGACCGGGCTATTAGCCTCCTCCCCAGTGGGATGGAGCAAGAGGTAGCAGTAGCGGAAGCAGTTGCAGTGGCAGTGGCAACAACAGATGCAGTAAGCGTGCGGATCCTTGAAGTTCATGTTGCCTGATAATGTGCGGTGCGTTCACCAGAAAATAACCTGCTCGCAGCGGGAGTGGGAGTCAGGCACGCACGTCAGTGGCAGCAGCACACGCAGCATGGGGGAGCACGAGGGTGGGGAAAAAAAGGCAGCATGGATTCACGTAAAGGACTGTTCTATTTTTGGGGTCCATTTCTTCTTGCCTTCATTCTCCCATACACTTTTTCATTGGGGAATGGGCGAAGAGGACAAGCATTTCTCCTTGTGCCCTTATTTTTCATTGTATTCTTCCCGTTCGTCACGGTCATGCAGGCGATATGAAGAAGTGTCTTTTTGAACATTTGCCCGGATGGCGTCGTCGTTTGAATAGGGAGTGTGTGCATGAGTGTGTATGAGCGTGTATGTACGTGTGGGTGGTGCAGAGTGCATTCTCGGGGTCTTGTTAATCTGGAGAGCCCGCACGTTTACTCACTCTTCTTCCTGCTTCTGTTGCAGAGCAATATCATGAGCTAATGGGGTGGTCTCCGGCATAATGTGGTGCCTTTCAGGCCCCATGTGTCCATGGGTCGGTGGTGTGCGTGTGGGGTGAGGGGAGGAAGGTCTGAGGGCCAGAGATGGGGTTGAAAGCGCAGAGGCGAGAGAGAGCCTGTAGGAAGAAAAAGAAAGAAAAGAAAAGGTCTGGAGATTGTACGGCACACCCCGGGACTGAGAGTTCTCCCGGGCCTTTTCTTAGAGTGCAATGGTGAGGGAGGGGAGTGTATGCGGTGGATCTCTCCAATCGTCTTCGGTTCCTCTCCCCGAAAGAGCGGCGAGGACAATCCAGCACGAGCCATCCCCGTGTAAGTGGCCACATTGGATTTGGAGAGAGAGAGGAAGAAAGGGACGGAGACGAAAGGGACTGGAGTGGTTCCGACCATCAGCGTGCGGAGTACAGGCCAGTTGAGCGAAGTAGTTGGGTGAGGATGGCTTGCTTAGTCCCGTGGCTTAATATGTTTTTCATTTATCCACGTCGTTTCTTTTCATCCGCAAATTGATATCAGAGCGAAAGAGCAAGGGGGAAGTAGTAATAAAGAGTATGGCGAATAGCCAATCGACCCATGAGATGGGGACTCCAGAAAAAGAAAAAGAAAAAGAGAAGAGAAAAGAAAAAAAAAGACGACAGAGGCCCGGCTGCGTTGATGGCGTTATTCCACTACTATTCTTTTTTGTCGGGTTGCCAGTCACTCGACCAGGATTGTTGGCTCATGAGGCCATCTAGATTTGAGTGGGTAATCAAGGTGCGGGCGGAAAACAGAACCCCTTTGCAATTTCTGGCCATCGAAATATCTATTAGACGTTTATCTGCAGCGCTGCTCGGAGAGAGCACGGGATCGTGAAGAGACCAGGGTTGGGAAGGACGGCGAAAGCGAAAAGGATGGAAGGAGCTTCGGCACGAAAAATTGGTGACATCCATGGACCCGAATGAATCAGCCTTCTCGCCCGAGCCCCCATGATGCTCTCTTTCTCTTTTAACGGTTAGGCTAGTGTCTTATTGCTTAGGGATAGGGTTCTAGGCCAGATGATAGATCCTTGGACATGTTGAGACCATCGCATGAACCACAACTCTTTTGCCTCTCTCTCTCTCTCTCTCTCTCTACTCAATAAAGCGTGGTCACGGCTCACTCTGGCCTGGGCCCCGAATAGGTTGATTTTCCTATTCGTTCGCCTCTTTTCTCAAATCATCTCACTCGCTCATCCTTCCGGCCTCGCTTCCCAGGAATGGGATGCTGTTGGCCTCCCTCCTTTCTTTTCCCTCCGGCCTGTCTTCCCATTTTCTCCCATTCTATGAAGATCATTCGCTTGGCATGGCAACCACGCCGCTTCTTCGCATACCAGCCGTTGGGTGAATCCTTTTTCCCACTCTCTTTTCGTGCTCCTTTTTTTTGTTTGATTCTGTTTTTGGCATGTACATATCACCTCGCTTCTTCGCCCTCGTTTACCTGGCCTGTCATCTCTCCACCTCCACTCCACCAGGTTCGCCTCGCCTTTTGAAGATCGTCGCCCAAAGAGACACAAGCGAGCAATCCGGCTAGGCCGTAGTAAAGCCAGTTTGCCCCGGCCGGGGTGCCAGCCTGGGACGATGTCAATGTAGGCTGGCGGGTGAAGTGATTAGTGTCAGCATTGATCTATTGAGGTACACTTCGCCGCGCCACGCTTCGCCTGACCTCGCCGCCCAAAAGGTCCTCCAAAGGTCCTCTAGCAGTCAAAATGAACTGCATGTGGTGAGCACGGAATGGAAAGTGAGGCTGGGGAATTATAGAGAAGAGATGTAAGAAAAAGAAGTAAAAGGAAAAAGAAGAAGCCCGCCGAAGGATAGCTCGATCAAGTGAGGCTCACAATACTACATGTACGAATGATAGCCAAGTGCGTGCTTCCAAGGAGTCAGTCCAGCCCAGCATGATCAAGTTGGACATATCCAGTCCTCGTAGCAACGATGTGAACGGTCGTCATCTATCGCCTCCCTCATTCTCTTTTTTTCTTCTTTTTCTTCTTTTCTACCTACCTTTCTGTCTCTAAACCACGCCCCTCCCAGTCCTTGGATTAAATCATCCTACTCTAACTAGCGCAGTCTGCTCTGAGCATAGCCGATAGTGGGAATTGATTTGTTGATAGATTTGAACCTTTTTGGTCGTTTTTAAATAGAGACGGATCGATATAGATTCTTCCTCTTACTCCCCTCTTGATTGAAAAAGAAAAGGGCGGGAGATACTTTAGCACCAGGGGAGGGTTAATATCGAATGACGGGAGGTGTGAGGGAGGGTGGAGGACGGCCTGGGGCAACGGGGGAGAGAGGAATAAGAATAGACGGAAATAGTGGGACAGCCGTAGAGGAAGAAGAGAGCAAGTATAGATCCAAACGAGATGGAAATGGCCAAATGAAAGAAACCCTTAGGGAAAGGGAATAGAGAAGCAATAGAGCAGAGCAATGGGGAAATGGCGGGATGAGGGTGAAAAGGTCCCATCCCGACTTGTTTTGCGCCCTGCCCTGGCCCTGGCCCGGACCCGAACAACAACATTGAATGCTAATATGGATGCTCTCACATAGACACAATACAATTGAAGGCCATCAAATCCATTCTCCATCACATCAACCCCTTATAAGAATAGACCATTTTCTTTAAGCGATTTTCGTTCAGCCACCCCCTCTCGTGATTGAGTGGGCAAAGGGGAAGAGAGGCGAGAAAAGAAAAGAAGAGAAAAAAAGAAAAAAAAAAAGGAAAAAAATAAGAGAGTTGTAGGCAGGCAGGGCCAGCAACCGAGATCTTGGGAAAGGTGCTCTATTTCGTGACCCCAGGGGCGGAACACGGCATGGCCTTTGGGATTGACGGCGCAACGCACGCCCCGGGGCCCTCTATACCCCCTCCACACCACCCCCGAAGAAATGAATATACGATCTCCGGAAGCAGCGAAAAGAAGAAGAAAGAGACAAAAAAAAGGTGGGGAGACGGGGGGGAAATAGACAAGGTCTATATCGGCGAGGGAGAGAGTTAGGCGAGAGACAGATAGAGAGGGACCCAGACAACAGACCATACCGGGCAAATTCCCAGGAGCCAATCTATACGCCCACACACACACACAGTATCTCTCTCTCCAGCTCAAGGACCCAGCCAGACACGGACGCGGAAGCAGACACACGGAGACGGAAGTTACCCCGGGAGAGAAAGAGAAAAAAAGGCGAAGAGAAATAGATGGAGGCAAGGGAGGGAGAGAGAGACGGCAAAGTGAATTTAAAGTGCAGGAGGCAGAAAATAGCAACAAACCCACACGCATCCACACATGATACATGCCTTGGATATTGGGGGTGGGCAAGGAAAGGGAAGAAGGGCTAGCACCGAAGACGTTCTATGAAAAGAAATAGGTGAATTAATGGTTAAGAAGAGAAAAAATAGACAATGGTACGGGGCAAACATTGATCAGAGAATCAATTATAAATACTCACGAACCTCTCCTCGATGGAGACGATCTTCTTCCCTTTCCTGCATCATCAACAGCAACATCTTCAGCTTCATCTCTTCTACAGCTCTCTCTCTTTCTCTCTCCTCCAACTCTCGCTTTTTCTCTCTCACAAAGCTTTTCTTAGCTTCTCTCGCTCTTTTTCTTCTCCATCTTAACCAAACCCCCACAAAACCATCAATATGAGGTCCTTCGCTCTTCTCGCCCCGGCTCTCGCTGCCGCCACCCCCATCCTCAACCCCCAGGTCACCTCCGACCTCCCCGACCCCACCGACATCCAGATCATCAGCGCCACCTGGTCCGGCAACGGCTGCCCCTCTAACTCGGTCTCCACCTCCATCTCTCCCGACCGCACCGTCATCACCTTCGGTTTCGACGCTTTCCAGACCTACATCGGACCCGGCGTCAGCGTCCAGGAGAACAACAAGAACTGCGCTCTCCACCTCAACCTCAAGTACCCCGGTGGCTTCCAGTTCGCCGTTGTCGACTCCACCTACCACGGCTTCGCTCTCCTCGAGGAGGGTGTCACCGGCTCCTTCTTCTCCACCTACTTCTTCTCCCAGGACGCCTCGGCGACGACGACGACCCGCACCGTCATCGAGGGTGGCGGCATCTGGGCCGACGGCCAGGTCTACACCAAGGCCGACTCCGTCCCCACCGCCTCCCTCATCTTCTCCCCTGCGGTGCCACCGGCATCCTCAACATCAACAACCGCATCTCCCTCCGCTCCTCCAAGCCCGAGGCCTTCGGTTCCATCACCGACGATGATGCCACCATCGCCTTCACCCAGCAACTCAACCTCAACTGGCGCAACTGCCCCGAGTAAACTGCTTTTACTCAGGCACACGCACGCCAATCGTTTGTTCTTTCCTTGGTTAAAAAGGGAGCGGTTTCTCTTTTCAATGGGGAGCTTGCATTGGCCGGTGACGGTGAGAATGTGACCCGGGCGGCAGATGGCGACAGGGAAAAAGAGAACTCAACAATAGCATCAACAATATCCACCCATCCGAACGGTGGCGGAGACTAGGAAAAGCATCCTTCTCAAGGGAGACAAGAGATTCCTACGGGGCTCGTCGACAACCTTGACAACACGCTTTTCCATCACCCTCTCCGACGCGCCACCACACTTCTCTTTCTTTCCTTCTTCTCTTTCTCTTTACGTCACTTTCTCATTCCTTCCGACCACTTTCTCGCTCTCCCTCTTCTTTATTTGCTATGGAAGGCGCTGGGTTGGATAATTAAGGGGATGGCGGACAGCTGCGGAGGCACAGGGGAGGACTGCATCTTTCACACCCGGAACACTCTGGCCTTTTCTTCGTCTTTGGCTTCGGCCACCATTCTCCGGGCTCGCGACCCCGACTTTCCCCTCGGGAGGCGCGATGCACGCGGATGAGTACCGAGCCGGAAGAGGATGGGGGCACGGGGCCCGGGTTGTCTCTTTTCTACTTCATTGTCTATCCTTACTTTTCAGGTCATTTTATTTTCTTTCTCATTCCTTTGTCCTTTGGTTATTTATTCTTCTTCTTCTTCTTACATATATGCATTTCATGAATTCAAAAATATTGAAAAAAAAATCTAGGCTTTATTTGTGCAACAGTGACCGACAGCAAGTTCCGAACTAGATCATTTGAGCTTAAGCGCGGCCATCCAACTTACACCGAGGTTGGACTCGAGAGAGGATTGGGGGCCACGAAGAATGCCTCAAGCTCAGAGAAAAGGGTGTGGGTAAACAGTCGAAAAAAACCCTCAATGAGTGGCAAAAGGAAAAACGAGAGCGAAAAGGAGACAAAAACGGCAAAAGACGAAAGGAGCAGGGAGCAAGTGACAAGTGACTCTCCGACGGCATGGGAAATCGCAAGGTACACGCGATCTTTGATTGGGTCTCCGGGCAATATAGCCGCAAGTCCTCGTGAAGCAGACATCTGACCAGTCAGGAAGGGCGGGCTCGCCGTTGAGGGACGGGCTGGGCATAAGGCTCCAAGGTGGGTGGGTGATTGCAGTCTATTTTGCCGTTCCCCAACTGGCGAGTATTTTTAGGATTTTCCATATTCATTGCCATCTTCCCTTGGCTCGCCGCCGCACTCTTCCGCTCAAGCCCATCAGCCCAGAACTGTTGGGGCCTTGGTCTCTACCTGTGCCCTCGTTTTATATTATAGGGCAGGGAGTAAGCCGAAAACTAGTTGCTGCCGTCAATGGCGACATTTGCGTTTTTTCCCTAGTTCTCAAATTTGAGTTGTTGGATCACGAGATGTGGACAATAATTGAAGATCCGGGTCCGCAGATCTCTCCCTCTCTCGTTCCTTAACCTTCTTTCCGTCAAAAGCGAGGGACTGTTCGAAATCCTAAATCAACCGCCTCTACCTCGGTAATTCCCCCAGTCTCATAAAAACCCCCATTGCCCACATTTATCAATGGGCACTTATCTCCGGCGTTATTCATCTATCGCCATCTCGCCCTTGGTCCTGTGCTTCCCCATGCTCGGACCCAAAGAGGTTCCGGGCATCCGCTCTACCTCCCGAAATTCGGGGAACCACCCCCGAGAACCCTTCCGGGTCCACGACCACTCGCTGACTAACCCAACAAACCAGCCCGCAATTTATGGGCTCAGCGCAATTACAAGGACACGGAACCATCCGGCTATAGTGCTGCTGCGCCTCCAACTGTCCGCCTGAGGCAGTATATTTATATCCATCTCCCGGAGATTAATTACTGTGCTGCTAAACTCGTGCACCTGGATGGAGATATGGATGCAGTAGATCTGTTTGGCCCAGGAGCAGATTAATGCCTACCATCAGAATGGGAGAGTTAGAGGATCGTCTCCTACTCCGCACCGAATTACACGACGGCACGCCATAGATATGAATCCATTATGGAATGTATTGGATGTAATCCTCAGCTCGTAAAGAGGACGAGGTGGCCGTCATCCTGTTTAGAATGAGCTTTGAGTCCCATGCCACAAAGCATCCAAGAAATGAGCGCAACTCGTAGTCTCCTCTCATGCTGAATCCTTCTTAGGCAAGGCCTTTTGCCATCTGTTGTCTTGTTTCCCCAAATCCCTTTCCCCGCGTGTGTGACGCCGCCCCGATTTCGTCTCTCGCTTGCTCGTCTAATTCGCCCTTTTCAGAGAGCTGAAACCAGCGAGCACCCCCAAGCGCAATTTTTCCGGGCTCTCGGCAGAGTATCGACAATCAAGTTTATACATGTAGATAGATAAATGATTGTCTTCACAAAGGAGGGTTTTGGCTGGGTTGCCACCACCGAGTGAGAAACGCAGTTGGCTGGCTTCGCTTGCCCACCACACACCTGCATCAAGTTGAAAATCTATTTGAGAACCACCTCCACGAGATTTGTAAGATAGAGCGCCAAGATTTGGGATGAGCTATTGAGAGATTCCTTTCCTCACATGTAGATATGTTGATCCATGCAACACACCCACACAAACGCCTGCATATATTCATACACACACATCGACACATGCAGGCCACAGTCACCACACCTTGCACACATATTCACACGCCCTCTCATAGTGTCTAGCCAAAATATCATCAAGGCAACGTGACTAGATTGATTGAGAGAAAAGTCGGAGTCGGAGTCGTAGCCTGTTTAGGGAGTGCCTGACAGGGAGACAAGAAGGCGGGCAAAACGTGATTTCTATTTTAGGACCTGCTTCCCGGTGCGTCGGGTAGTATGATGATCTACGCACTTGGCGATAATCTTGCTTCCCCTCCCTTGTGAAGGGTTCATAGACCTGGAGAGCTTGTAACGTGAAGGAAAGCCTTGCTTGGTGGTGGGTGTATAATCACATCTCAATTATGTTGCTTGTAAATCTTGGGAATGGGCAGAACTCATCGTCTGCGTATCGCTTGAGGACTCAACGGAGTTTTATCATGCCTATGCTCTATCACCCTCTCCAAGTAGCCTCATTGCAATAAGCACTTTAGGGTAGGGAGTACGAATTCAAGTTAGAACTACGGAATGGGGATATGGAAGTATGCTTGGTGATAGGCGCCTCATCCAGCGTATTAGGACACGACTGTAGCCTGGCCGATGATTACACCCTTTCCTGCCACTCAGGGATATCATAGGATTTTGCCAACAGGACCTTGCGAGGCATGAATGAGAGGATGATGCGCCACGGTGCGGCGGCGCAAGCCGATGCAGACCCGTACAGACCCTCCACAATGGCATGGTTTAGAAGTGGCGAAGGAGGGGCTACTCTGATAGAGGGGTTATCCCAAACCTGAACTGATGGTGCTAGAGAGGCCGTTTGATACTTCAACCGGCGATTTTAACTAGATCAGCATCTCATCCCCGTGAGACGGCGTGTTGAATGATGAGAGCCACCTACCGGGCCTAGTCTGGACTAATCTCCTTCTTACTCGTACATTCCCCAATATCTAGAAGAGATAGGCGAAGCGTTCCTTCCTCGTTATTGATGCGCCTTGGTGTCTGGAAACAGAAAGAGAAGGAGCAATACTAGGTATCGACCGCCCAGAAGCCCGCAATGAAGAGAAGCACTTTCCCAGGTCAGACATAAACTCTAGAATTGAACATAACGATTGGTCGCTGATCAACGTACAGCAACAGTTTACTACGTCTACGCAAAAAGCGGAAGAAGTCAGGATCGCTCTTCCTCGTCAAGTTCAAGTCAGCTGGGCATGGATCTTCCCACTGTCAGGTTCTTGATGCCATCATAGCATACACCCAAACTTGACTCAACGTAAACGAGATTGAGAAAGAGAGTAAGGGTTCGACACGGACCCCAGAGCTGCCTCAGCCACTTTCATGTGCTTGGTGGCCACAGAGCAAACATGTGGTAGTAGACCTTTCGTGTTCGATTCCGCTGAGACCAATCCCCCGCCGCCGCCGATTCATAGAATAAACAGCCCATGTGAGCTGGGGAAAAGGGTTCTGCGGCGCCAAGATCACGGCAAACATGGGTAACCATCATCTATAAGGTCAAGCAATTGACCTACAGTCGCAGTTCGCAGGCAGCGATAAAGGCTCGAGCCGCACATACACAGAGACACGCGCATAGACACACATACGCCCAGAACGAAACATTGACGAACATCTATTGTTTTCATTTCAGTCAACAAGACGACTCGAACTCGGTCAGAAAAAGAAAAGGAGACGTTCCATGAACCACGCCGAAAGGGGAGAATAAAACGCAGCCGCTGCCAAGATTAAGGAACAAAAACACCCGCAAAAATTGTACAACATATACACGTGAATAGGCTCGCTGTACAAAAGAATGAATCCTCGTTCAGGGCAACTCAAAAACACCAAGCAAGGTGTGAACAAGTATAATATCATCCCAGAGAAGGAGAGAAAAAAAAGGATGGAAACGAGCTTTTCCCAGCACACCACTACCTCATCCGTGATTGATTATCACCTGTACGCGCCGGGACCATTGTTATTCCAGTAGCCGCCTCCCTGTTGTTGTTGTTGCTGCTGCCCATAGACGGGACTTTGAGGCGCTCCGTATGCTCCGCCATATGTAGGGGCTGCGCTCCCGCTCCTGGGAGGGGGCATCACATGTGCTGGGCTCTGGGCCCTGGGGCCGTCAAACTCGCCGTATCCAACTCCGCCACCGCTGTAGCCTCCCGAGTACGCGTTGGGGTCGTCGCGCTGCGCTGAGGCGACGCCATCCCAACAAAGCCGCCGTTGTTGTGGGCGTTTTCGAACTGCGCAGGGCCGGGGCTGAAAGCTCGCTGAGGCGCAGGGCTAAAGGCTCTCTGGGATGGCGCGGGGCTGAAGGCGCGCTGGGGGCCGGGCTGTAGGTTCTCGCGGGGACGGGGCTGGCCAGTGCAGGGCTTCGGGATCCATCGTGGAGCAGAGGCATGGCATGCATGCCGCCGGCCGGGGACGGGAGCGGGGGCGATAGGGGCCGGCGCGACCGTTCCAGTTGTCGTCAAATTGCTGGCCGCCTAGGTTCTGGTTCGAGTTTTGGAATTGAGACTGTCCGAAATGCGACGCTGTAGGTGACGGCGCTGCGGGGATGGGATGGCTCGCTCCTCGACGCTAAAACCGCCCTTCTTTTCCTGCACCACGCCGCCGTCGTGCACCTCGGCCACGGTCCAGTCGCTCGCGCCACCAGAAAAGCTGTCGGGGTTAACACCGCGGGCCTTGAAGTTCTGCATCTCGAGACGTTCCTGCGCGGCGGCGGCTTCGGCGGCAGCTGCCTCAGCGGCGCCCCGACGGCGTTGCTTGATGCAGAACCAGAGGCCAAAGGCAAACACGACGGCACCCACACCAGCGCCGCTAGCGTAAACGGCTGTCTTGGCGGTTTGGGGGAGCTCCTCCCACTTTTCAGCCACGGTCTTTTCAGGCTCTTTGAACAGGAGTTCCCTCACGGTCGAGTTGCCACTGACGTTCTTGTTAGCCATGTTTTTTTCATTCTTTGCTTCCACCACCCCCTGTTCGGGCAAGAAGGCGCGGATTTGCAGGTCAAACTTACTCGACGATTTGGATGCTATCCATGGAACCTGAACGGTCGCCAAAGATGTACTGCTTCGAGTCCGGCGTGTAATCCGTCACTTTGACACTCTTAACCCACATGGTGTAGGGGCCCTTGCTATAATCGGTGTCACCACCAGCCCACTCACGCACGCCCTGGGGCATGCTTGAGTCGCCACCTGCCCAGATACCCAAGCTGAGTCTCATGGGAGTCTGAGGATAGTTGCGGGTGTTGTTGGCGTCCTTGGGCAAGAGGGTCCGGACGAGCCTTCCATCGATGTACCAGTCGAGACGGTCGCGAGTCCACTCGGTGGTGTAGTTGTGGTAGTCATCACGCACGTCAAAGGGCACCTCATGGTAACCGCCATTGGTGAAGTCCTCTTCGCCCTTGCCGAAATAGTTGGTGGCGGCGTAGGTACCGTTGGTGCCGAAGAATTCCCAATCGACCTCGTCGAGGTTGTCGCTCAGCCACATCATGGAGCTAATGATACCCTGGCCGCTCGCGACCTTGAGCATCATCTCGACGCGGCCGAAGAAGAAGTAGAACTTGGTTCGCAGCGTGGGCGAATCGAGCGCCTTGCTGACGGTGAAGGCGGCACCCAGTTCCGGGTCATAGGTGACGGGGCCCGGTTTTATTTCCCACGACCCGGCCGGGGACTTGCGTTGAAATTGAAAAAGTATTCGGTGCCGAAGGCGGGATCTGCCGGGCAATCCTTTTCCATTGGATTGCAGTCGGTATGAACCTGGGCCGATACCGAGGTGACGGCGCTCAGGGCCACGAGGGCCGACAGACACACTTTCCGTAGCGAGAACATGATGTCGGTTCTGGCGGCGGTAGTACTTTTGTTCAGACGGGATGAAAAGAAAGGCAAAGCGAAGACTTAGTTGAGTGCACACGGAGATGGCAGTAATCAAACACACGCAGTCGTCAATGGGTATCAGGGTATCAGAGGATGAGGACTGAGATGCGGTGGTGGGGCGATTCGATGCTCTGCTCGTGTGGATGATCGTCAAAAAATGGGGGTCTGGCTTGCAGAACGATGGAGATATCTGAGGGATATGAGTGTGAAACAAAAGCAAAGAAGAGAATGGGTTGCGCAAGCGCGTTCGATAAGAAACAAGAACAAAACAAGAATGAAGAAGAGGAATAAGAGTTAGTGGTGAGAAGGCAAAAATTGGGTGAGGAACCGGTTCCTGCAGGGTTCAGATGACTTGGCGGCACGATGTATTCTCAGACAGAGAATGAGGGACTGAGACGTGCAAGGTGCGTGAAGGTGACAAGCAATGTCTTGGAGGGTGAAGAACACGACGCAGAAGAAGAGCGAGAAAAGGAGCGGCCTCGCGATATAATTCTTGTGTGCGTGAATTAGGTGGATATAGTAGCCGACTGTTTACGAGGGACCTCGTTGGTGATTTCGTTGGTTCGGACGTTTGGGTAAATGAGCGACTTTCTGAGATGGATCAGATGGACTGGCTTCACGCAATCATAGCGCGAGAGAGGGAGTAATGGGCAGAGAGCGAGTGACCGAGGGAGTGGACGTCGTTGCCGTACGAGCCGGAGCACCGTTATCTTTCTTTCGCCCTTTTCGTCTTTTTGTGACTTCCTCGATGGTTGAGGAAGAAAAAGAGAAGAAGGATAAAGAGCAGAAGGCCGTTCGACTTTCGGAAGCGAAAATAAAACGACCGAGGGACGGGGGTTGGGGAAAAGAAGAAGAAAAAGAACAAGAACCACTAGGACTAGGAGGGAAGGGGAAGAAAAGCAGGCGCAGGTACCTGAAAAGGGACAAAATCGAAAAAGGTCCGTGGAAGGGAGGGGATATGCGTGCAATTTTGTTGAACCGCTGCCTCGTCTCTTTTTTCTGCCGCCCAATGCCAATTCTTGGTCGGAAGACGCCTTCGCCCCCCATCCAGGAAATGGACCGGGGAAAGGGGATGGGCCATGGATGGCGACTCCAGCTTTCAGGCTGGCAGGTCACTCGTCTCCGACGCTGTTCTTGCCCTCATTGTTCCTTTTGCCACCAGCGAATGGCACGAGGGAATTCAATGAAGACGCCTATTTTACACTGATGATACCTCGATTCTGCATTGTCCGGAGCATCGGCACAACCCTACTTTCAAGAAAAGGGGGCATTCACAAAGTCCTGCTTTGCCCTTCCGTCAATCAAAGAGCCAACGGACACCACCCAGAAAGGGCAGGAAGCGCTAGTGCGCAACGCTACACTGGACGGAATGGCAAGCAGAACAGAGGGCAGAGGCAGCACCTCCCCTTCGAGGGGAAGCAGCGCGAGCAAGCGGGAGGAGGAAGCAAAAAATGGGTGAGATTCAATCACGACCCCTGCAGAAGTGAGTGCAGCCCCCTGCCAAGTCGACATGGAGTTTCACCTGGCCCGCCGAGCACCAAAGAAACCCGTCCCAGCTCCACGCCGTTTCACTCTTCCCGGTTTAGCTCGTCGCCGCCACGCCTTGGCGCGACCAATGGAAAGCCCACGCCTCGATGCAGGTACCAGGTTGGACCTGGGAGGGTGGGGATGCGCAGGAAGGGGAAAACAACAGATCCCGGGTCATCACTTTAAAAAGAAAGGGAGAAGGTGAACAAAGGTGAGGAGGGAGGCCCAAATTTCAATTCTTGGCCCAGGCACTGCCCGACGCGCGCGGCCACTATGTGTACGTTATCGCCTTTTTCTTCTTTCTTTTGCAAGAATGGGAGCAGGAGGCTGGCAGGAGGGTGCCTGGTGTTTTCGCCTCGGGAGATGTCTGAACGCGTCTTGACCGCCTGGAACAACACTTGCTCTTTTTCCATGTCCCTTTTCTGTTTACGTTGTTTGAGGCGATTATTCAGGTCTGCACCCGAGCCACTGAAGCCAAGGCAGGATCGCCGCTCAAAAAGCGGGGTGATTTCCATCCAAGCGGCATGACCCTTTTGGAGAGGCGCTGATTTGATCCCCGTTGATGCCCTCTTTTTGCTCTTGGCTGCCGCCCAAGCCGCGTGTCCATCCCTAACACTTTTCCCAGCGGCGGTTGGATCTATGTTGAGCTCGGCACTTGACTTGGCAAGGCAGTCTTTTGGAGGTCTTGGCCTCTCGCATTTAAACTCGAAGTACTTTACCAACATGACCCCTAGAGGAGGCTTCTCAGAGGACCGGGTCTCAACGACGGGGCGGGTAAAGACCAAGACCATAAAGAAAATTAAACCCCGAAAAGCCGTTGCAGAAAAAAAAAAAAAAAAAGATCAGGCGAAAGGAATTATTGAAGAAAACGGGGAGAAAAGCGAAGGATGAACAGAAGAGAAATGAGGTCATATGTTTTCCCTTTTTCTCTAAATGAGTCTATCCTCCCATTCCCATTGGGATGATTGCTCGAAGCGCCCAAGAAATCGCGCGTGGTCCTTTCTGTGGATTCTGCTCTTCGTCCGCTCGTTTTGAGTCGGATTGTTTGTCTCTTTGACCCTCTTCTTTTTCTTCCTTGCCTTCTGCCAGCCATGCGTCATCTTCTTTCGTCATCTCCATGTCTGTCCCTCCACTCTTTTTTAAGCTTACCTTTTCGTCTTCAACTAGAGTTTTACTTGTGCGGAGACGATCCATTTTTCCACACCGCATCCCTTTCCCACGAAACCTTGCGTTGCCATTTCACGGACCCTGTCGTCGTGCATAAAGTCGTGAAATTCGCTCGTTTCTTTCCAACCTGCTTCCCAGTCTTCCGGGCACAAGTCCTCGACATGGGGAAGGGAGCAGACGCTTCACCACCCACAGCAGGCAACACCTGGCATATGATCCCTGAACGCCACTTTACCCGTTTTCTTCAAGAAACGGGGCAGCCACGCCGCGTCGTCCCTTGCCGCGATGTGGCGCGTCTTGTTCTCGAACGCCGCCTGTCTTCTTTTCTTTTTTCCTTTTTTTTTTCTCTTTAGGGAGAGGCGGGGAGGCGTTTTCGTAATAAAAATACCCATGGAAAGAGAAGAAACAAAAGGAGCAGCCTGTGAGTGAAGAAATAAGAGAATCCGCTTACCAGATATGGCCAGCCACCCATGAGGATATGGAGCAGGGAACACTCTCCTCCCATCAAGAGACTAGGGGATACCTACTCGTCAGAGATGGCAAACCAGAGAGCAAACCGCGTCTTGTGATGTTGTGAGTTGTGCGCCATCAGTCTGGTCCGGTAAGGCCGGTCTGGCCCCCATCTCCTCTGTAAACTCCGTGTCGTTGGAGAAAGAAAGCAATCAAAGCTTGTGATATCCAAGAGACATAGGCCCTTGCCAGATCCGGACCTCGAGCCCCATTACATGTCTGTCGACGGCCCTTGAAATATAGTCCTCACCAGCTTAACCGGGACTCGAGGATCGGATAGCCAAGGCGAGGGCAGCCAAATGGACCATCTCACACTTGCCAAAACACAAATCTAGAATCTCCGCCTGAACCTTCCAACCTCGGTGCATACCACGAACATAAGATGCCAATGGGACCTAAGCAGTATTCGTCGAAAAAAATAGTTTATTCAGCCACGCTTATATGTACGAGTCCTCTAACGCCATCTTTTTCACGGCGTACATCCAACTGTCCTCCTCCCTTATCCCCCTCTCTCTCACGCACCTCTTGTCTCCTTCTATTCCCACTTCCTACTGGCTTTTGACCTGCGCCTCAAACAAAAGGACCCAGGGGTGACCACCAAATAAACGGGGGTAAAAACAAGGCAAGGCAACCGAGGGACAAGAAGAACAAAAGCGGCTGGAGAAGTGTAGGAAGTCGTGACCCACTTCACCCTCCGGGACTCGCGGGCTCGTCCATCTCTTGCGGTGGGAGGGATTGCAAGGGCCCAGCTTTTGACATTAAAAGATCGATATCCAGGGCATGGACTTGGCTTTCCTGCAACTGGCCCGGGCAGGGAAAGCGAGGGGCGGAGACGGCGGCCAAAGGGAAACAACTAAAGAAAAGGAACAGGTACGCTTCGGTCCCTCGCCCCACTTGCGAATAAAGAAAGCAGGGAGGAACACAAAGTTCGTAAGGGTATGTACATCATCGAAAAGAAGGTAGAAGTAGAAAAAAAAGGATGAAGAAAAAAAGAATGAAGAAACGAGATTATTACAAAGGCTGTATCGAAGTAAAGCCCGCGCTCCTCGCGCCAGCCTTGTGACCGCGTTGTCCTATCGAGGCTTGCTGCCACTCCAGAAAAGATGTCGTTGAGGGGAGGGGAGGATGCCTCCTCGCTCAAGGAGAGGGGGCGTCGGGGAGTTGGGATCGGGGTCTCATGGGCGGCATGGCATTATAGGCGGCGATAGGCGTAAAAGGTTGCGTTATATGCGAATGTAACAAGAAACGAACAATGCCAAGAAAACTGGGGTACAAAACGGGTCGGAGTTGAAAGGCAGGTGTGGAGGGCGAGGCCGAAAACAAATCAAAAAGTGGTTGTGAGTAGCGCTTCGATTACCTTGAGAGGTTCAAAGCATCGTCATGCGCCTGCTCGGGTATTTCCGCATCGTATGTCCGTGACATCAAACGACAGGGTCCTTTCCACCCCACAAAGAGTAGGGGAAAGAACAAAAGAAAAAGCAAACGGGATTGTACAGGCTAGGCTGGTCGTTTGGTGGGTACAAGAGGGGCGGGCTTTTTCTTCGCGGTTCACGTCGCCCCAGCCAACCCACGTCCGGACGGCGGCGCCTTGCAGGGGTTGTCGTTTGGGTTGAAGTTCCCTCACATAATTACACATGGCGAGTCGTCGCGGTCCTTCTTGACAGTGAGGGCTACACGAGCAGCTTCGGTGAAGGCCTCGTTGACGCCCCTGTTGCGCATCGCAGAGCATTCGAGATATCGGAGGGCGTTGATGCGTCGCGCGACCTCGAGGCCCTGGTCATAGTTGATAGTCGGCTTCTTCTCGCCTTGCGGGGCAGCGCCGTCGGTGTTGGGCTCCTCTTCGTCGGATTCGCGAAGATCGCACTTGAGCGCAACGAGAACGAGTTTGGTGTTGGGGCAATGTTCCGCAATTTCGCCAACCCACTTGCTCTCCACGTTCTCGAGCGAGTCCTTGCTATCAACGCTGTAGCAGAGCATGATGAGGTCGGTGTCATCTATCCATGAGGCGAAAACGAGTTAGCCTCCGCACCGAATCACGGATCAACTAGAAAAGGGGCGCGTACCATACGACAGACTTCGGAGTCGGTCAAACTCCTCCTGGCCAGCAGTGTCCCAGAGGGAAAGTTCGATATGAACGTTGTCGACAAAGATGTCTGAAGAACTCGGTTAGCACAGGACTGGGGGTTTCCAGGTATACTATGCGCCAAACGCGCAGAGAGGCAGGTGGTCAAATTGGCCAACTTCACTGAGCTAGCGCATGTGCTCTTGTCTGCCTAGGCTACTACTGGTGGGTTAGGAAGCTGACATACCATGGACATAGTTCTCGAAGACGGTAGGTTCGTAGACCGTTGGAAAGTAGCTGGGTAATAGTGAGTAAAATAGCTAGGAGCGCTGGTGGCCACCTTCCGAGGGAGGCCGAGCAACGACTTACCCTCTCGTAAAGACGTTGAGCAACGAAGTCTTTCCGGACGCACCGTCGCCGCTATCATGATAGAAACAAATTAGTATTTCCCATATCAGGAGTGCCAGAAAGGATATTGGTAAATAGTTGTATCGCCCAGCGCCCAAACACCGATCGGGGGTTTAGGCGAGGGTTGAGAGTTTGGGCGAGCGCATGTCGTGGCGGGGAAAAGGAGGCGGATAGGGAAGAGAAGCGACCTACAGTAGTACCAGCTTTCGCTGAACCGTCTTGCTTCCTCCACAGAGCGCAGGCATTATGGGTGAAAGATTGCTTTGCGGGAGGGGCGAAGGGGGCTATGTGCGGTGCTCGAGAGGCAATCGAGGATGATCGTTCGGCGCTGCGAGCGAGTGGCTTCGGCCGTGGGCAGGTCGAGTCTTTGGTGGAGATGATGGAAATTAAAGGTTTCTAAACCGGACGTTCGGACTCGTCGTAGTGTGTAGTGTGTAGTGCGTCTTTATTCTTTCAGGGTGCAAGTGGGTAGGCGAGAATTCGTCGAGATTCGGCGGTTTGTAAGGATGGAGGAGAGATGATGGGGAAAGGAAAAAAATAAATTTAGGTTTTGGTCGCAAAGGGGTCGCGAGGGAACAAAGCAGAAGTCTTTTGCTACCCAGGGTGGATGGCGGGTCTAAGAGTGGACTAGCTAACTGTGTGAGACCTCGTCATTCGCGTCGTTCAAGGTCTGGGGTGTAGGTTTTGAGGCGATGACGGAGGGCAGTGTCACAAATGCGAGAGTGCGGGAAAGGGAGGCGTTGAGAGGACCCGACAATGGCGAAAATGCAGGCAAGGGCCTAGTAAGAAAAAAAGGGCTCAATGAGAATAAAAAAGGGGGTATCACGAGTATCAGTATCGGAAGAGGAGAGTGAAGAGAGAACGAAGAAGGGGTTCGTCCAGACGGAGCCAGGCAAAAGAAAGGGTTATGATGCGAATGGCCTCCTTTCGTGGGGAGTGCAAACCCAGTCAAAAAAGGTCGGCAAGATTAATGGATGCTTTGGGGCTCAGTGTTCGCGGAATGAAGCAACCAAGGTATTACAAAGTGCGAGGGCGCAGGAAATGAGTGGAAATGAAGTCACGGACTCGTGAGACTGCAGGTGGAAGGTACGGGTCAGGGGTACGATGGGACATTGGGGGTACATTCGAGGTACGAGGTACACGGTGTGGATCCCTGATTCTAACCGGATCGGGATGCGCAATCGCTGAACAGGAAAGGAAAGCAGGTGCGCACAGGTTTGAGAAGGAGCAGCGAAGACCGAACATTATTGCACTGATTGATGGGCCAGACACTGCACCTACGACAGCCACAGGACGGACTGCGAAGGAGGCAGGCACGACCAAGGCAAATCGTCTTACGCCATATGCCATATGCCATACGGGATTTGGAGCTGTTGATGCCCATCCATCCCATCCCACTCCATCCACCATCCCTCCGTGAGGGGCATACGAGGAGTTGGTGGCTCGTATTCTGCTCAGCCCAGCAGTCAGCCAACTCTGATCTGTTCAATGCATTGTCGTGCTGTGCTGTGCTGTGATGTGCTGTGCTGTGCCTGGCTCTGGACGACAGGTGGCCCCAGAGAGACGACAAAAGTGATGCGCAAAGCAACAGCAGCAGACTTGGCCACCGCACTGTGTTTTCGTCTTCGAACCCGATCAAAATTGCATTTGCATTATCCTAGACTGTACTGTGCCTTGCCACATTGCTAACTCGAACCAGTTCCTCCTCCGTGCCAACATTGATCCATTGATGAATATTAAGAGACTTGTGGATCTCGATCCGGCGCTTGATTGGGGCCCTCTATTCTAGTTTCGATGGAACATGGACGGAACCTCGACTGCTCACCTAAGTGACAAGTACTTTGTCTACTCAACACCAGACCCGGATATTAAGGCGCCTTCTTGCTAAAGCTCATGTCATGGCATTGCGTCGGGAAACCCAGGCGGCCTGCTAGATCCAATTCCTGTCCAATATCTTTGATCCTCCTCCTCGGCTTTGGGCCTTTCTTTGATACACCTTGTACGGCATAAGGTCTTGTGATAGAAATCCATGATACTATTGCTTTTTCTCCCTCTTGAACCGACTCTTCCTCCGCGATGCGATAGTCCCCTCCTGTATATCCGCCCTCTTCATCCCCACAAGTTGGCACATCTATTGAGCACGAGGCTTCGGTGCCTTTCATGCCAATACTTGTTGATAATAAAATGGATAATACATATTGTGGGGACTGGCATCCCACGCAAAAGCCTACCAACGGACGGATCCAAAAATTTGATCGATGCCAGGACAAAGAAAAAGCTTCAGGCCCGTGCTCGCCCGGGGCGCATGTAGGGTCTCTGCCACCGCTGCCCCCTGCTAAGAGAATCTCTGTCATTGGACAAATGGAGATGAAGATAATACCGGCCTCCTGTCCTCCCTCCCAGTCAAATCAACTGGTTGGCCAGGTCGAGTCCAGGGGAGTGGAGTAGGCGACAAGCCCACAAGATTGATGGTTGATGGGTTTCTGTCTCCACAGGGTGAACGGTCGGGCGATCGAATAATAAACGCTCACTATGTTCTATTTCTGTACATGTATGCTGTGGACAGGACAGGCATCAAATTCTTTAGCGAGCACAATGTCAATCACCGACGGAATGGGAGATAATATCAGACGGGTCGGATAACTCTCAGATACCAAGTCTCCGGATTACAAAGAAGAAATTAAACCCCTCCGAGTCCCAGAAGCTTGCTAGACGATTCTCCTTTACCGTGCATGCATCAATATATTGCCAGGTCCTAGAGCCTCAGGAGATTCCAAGATGAGAGGACGCAGGGTTCAACAAGAGCATCCAGCCATGAAAGATCGAATGAGAGAAGCGAACCAAGGTAAAAGAAGAAGAAACCCATCAAAGAAAACAAAGAGCATCGCAGTTCAACCCCAGTTTCGCATACAATGCCCATTGTACTCTCCACGCCTGGACCTTTTAATTGTCCCCCAGATTCGCTTACTTCTCTCACATGTTCTTCTATCCTGCCCTTCCCGCCCCGCCCCGCCTCACCACTCCCAGCTGAGGCGTCAGCAGTCGAAAAGAAAAGCACAAGGAAGAAAAAAAAAGGCATCAAGCTGAAACCACGGATCATTGATGCCGCCTTCTCGCCTGAACGTCTCCGCGCAATGCAGCTCGCAGCGTATGCCAACCAACAGTCCTTTTTTCTTCTTGGCCTATTCATCGGATGACAGGATCTCTGGCATCTTTTGATACTTGCGTGGCCGAGAGGCGGGCTGGCTGACAAGTTCCTACTGACGAATGAGGTTGATCAAAGACGCATCAGTACCATCTCTCTACATCAAGATATTGCGCCACGCGAGATTCGTGGCCAGTCGAGGTGCTGACGCTGCTCACTTCACCGCCACCATGTTAGGCGTATCGCGTATTAGATGGTCGCTGTCCTCGCAAGGCGACATGCACCAAAGAGCAAATGTTTGCCCAACACTAAAGTGCTTCGAGACGGTCTAGTCGGAGAAGAAGTGAGAGCTTGAAAAGGCTACAATTACTAACCCCTTGCACTCTTGCATATAAAGGGCACCGGAGAAGGGAATTGATCCCTCGATGTTCATCTATCTACTGCTAATGCCTGTAAACCCTTGAGATCAAGCTCGTCCATATCCATGTGCGTCACTCACGTATCGCAAGCTAACCATACCACCCCAACAAGACAACCTAGAGTCGAAGATAATAAAAAAATAAAAAAGAGGGCGAGATGAAGGGGAAAGAGGATAGTAAGAATAATAAAACATAGCCTCCATTCCCGCCTATGGCGAAAGGGTCGTAAACGTTACAAGCATCATCCCTAGTCCTGGTCGGCCACCAGCCCTCGGCGACCGCGTCCCATGTTCTCCGCGAGCCCCAGGCTATTGGCCTGCTGCCTCACGCCGTTGATGAAGCGCTTATCTCCACCGTAGCGCGCCGCTTTCTCGCGCGCCCTGTCGTCCTCCTCCCTGGCAAGACGATCCCGCTCTGCAATCTCAGCCAAGCGCTTCTCGCGGTCGAGGTCGAGCTCAGATGCGGCTTGCTGCATTTCGGCCAGCTTTCGTGCGCGTTCGTCCTCGTCCGAGGCAGGTCGCTTATCTTCTGCGCCCGCAGGAGGTCTCCGGTCCCATTGGCGGCTATTAGTACCACCACCACCGCCACCGCCACCGCCACCACCACCACCTCTTCCTCCTCGATGGTTGCGGTTCCTGTTCCAGCCATCTCGGTCCCGCGTATCGTTGCCTCGATCCGTGTGACGCCGGTCGCCATTCTCGCGATTGCGGAAGCGGGGTTCTTGGGGCCCCTCGTCCCTTCTGTCCGAATTCGCCCTTTCATCGCTAGGACGATCCCGGGATTGATCGCGCCGTCTTGAACTGCGATGGTCGCTGTTCCCAATGGAGGGGACTCGCGTCGGCTACGGTGACTCCTCTCTAGCTTGTCATCCCTGTCGCGATACTTCCTGTCGTCTCTTGATGGTTGGTTTGGCGACCTCGACCGCGACCTCGACGGGGATCTGTGTCTACTCCTCCGGTCCTTGTCGTCTGGGGACCGGTGGCGTCTACCACCAGGAGAATCCTGTCTTCTCCTTCGTCTACTGTCGTCGCCCTCAGTCCTCCGCCGGCGGGGCGGGCTCTGAGACCGCGACTCGGACCTCGACGAGCGCTTCCTCCTCCGGTCTCTTTCGTCGTCCGAGTACTCCCGTCGGTGCCTCTCGCTCCTGTGTCTGTCACGGCCCTCATCCCTCCTCCTCGACTTCTTCCTATCGCGGCCCTTATCCTTATCCCGGTCTTTCTCCTCCGACTTGATCCCCATAGAAGCGAGCATCTGCCTTCTCTTCACCGGGTCGTTCATGACAGCCTCGTATGCCGCCTGTTCCTGCTTCTTGATCTGCATGAGCGGGTCCGCGCTCAGCTTCGACGCCATGTCTTTCGCCGAGTTTGCATTCTGCGCCACGATGAAGCTATCCTGTCCCGAATTCTTTTCTAATTTTTGGTGGTCCGTCCCCTTGAGCAAGTTGTCGATCCTTCGCTTGCCGAGCAGATACGCCTCGCGCTCTTCCGTGGTGCCCATCTGCCCGTCGGTTGGCCCTTGGTACATCCAGTCGACGCGGTCGACGCGCTTCTGACCACCCGAGGCTTCCAGCTGCCGCTGGACCTCCTCCTTTGCGCGCTCCTCCTTGAGTTCATTGATACGTTGCTGCGTTCGCTTGCGTTCATCGAGGGCCCTTTGTTCTTCTTCGTAGACTCGTTTCTATAGAAAAGGGAGAGAAACAGATGTTAGCAATGAAATTCCCAGATCGTTGTTAGCTGGCAAGTTGTGATGGGGCGGCGTACCTGGTTGCGAAGCAGTCCAGGATGGAACGACTTCTTCAAGTTGAGATCTCCACCCATTGTTGCTGAAAGTGTCCGTCCACAGATGGACCTTCAGGTCTAACCCGCCTTGTATTCCGACTATGAGTAGGGGGTTGTTCCCTGGGGGAAAATGCAGTTCTTCGAGGACGGCGTTCAAGACTAGAAAAAGTGAGAGGCGAGATGAAGTGCAGCCTGGCTTGCGAAATATCGCCCTGGCGGCCTGTCGAGGTTTCGCCACAGCATGTTTTTGCTTAGGTAATCGGGTTGAACACTTCACGTTGGGTTGCTCATGGGTCTTATCGATAAGTTCCCACCAACGCTAAAGTCGTCAAGAGGTCAAAAGGAAGGAATAGTGGAGTTGGGACGGCGGTCGCTCACAGTTACCCCACTGCTAACATTGGAGGGGCTGCACCTTCCCAACTCCCCTACTAGGCTGCAGGCAGACAGGGCCAACAAAGGACCAAATCGATTAATCGATATCCCATCACCAACCCACCACCGGGTACATTCGACTTTATCTTGCAAAAACACCACTAACTCCAAGTCGCCGAAGCTCTGGACGGGATCGTCAGCACACCATAGACCAGGGCGCTTCCATCGCACGCAACAGTTACCATGTCGGACGACGATTTTATGCAAGAGTCCGATGAGGAGTGCGTACAACTCCTTCCCCTCGGGCCACCTGATTCCTCGTCTTTGGCGGCTAACCTATCGACAGCTACGACTTCGAGTACGAGGACGACGAAGACGAGGACTCCGGTGACGTAGATATCGAGAACAAGTACTACAATGCCAAACAAATTAAGCAGAGCGACCCCGACGAAGCAATTGCAGAGTTTCTCGCCATACCGGGCCTGGAGGAGACAAAGGGTGAATGGGGATTCAAAGGTCTAAAACAAGCAATCAAGCTAGAATTCCACCATGGAAAATACGCCAAGGTACGTCTCGTGTGTCTAGGGAGAGACGCGGTGATAGGGATGAGACTTTGCCACGGCGGGGGAGGAACGCAGGGTGCAGGCTGACATGCGATCTAGGTTGTTGAGCACTATGCGGAGCTCTTGACATATGTAAAATCAGCGGTGACGAGGAATTATTCGGAGAAGTCGGTCAATAATATGCTCGACTTCATCGAAAAGGGGGCGCAGGATGACGAATCGGCCAAGTGCGTCGAGCAGGTCTACTCGCTCACCCTCGACAGCTTCCAAAACTCGAACAACGAACGGCTCTGGCTCAAAACCAACATCAAGCTTGCCAAGCTCCTCCTCGACCGGAAGGATTATTCTTCGGTCGCGAAAAAGGTCAAGGACCTACACAAGACGTGCCAGCGCGAGGATGGGACCGACGATCCCAGCAAGGGCACCTACTCGCTCGAGGTCTACGCGCTGGAGATTCAGATGCACGCCGCCACCAAAAATAACAAACAACTAAAGCGCTTGTACGAGAGAGCGCTCAAGGTTCGCTCGGCCGTTCCTCACCCCAAGATTATGGGCATCATTCGGGAATGCGGGGGCAAGATGCACATGAGCGAGGAGAACTGGGACGAGGCCCAGAAGGATTTCTTCGAGTCCTTCCGTAACTACGATGAGGCCGGGTCCCTCCAGAGGATCCAAGTGCTCAAGTACCTGCTACTAACGACAATGTTGATGAGGTCCAACATTAACCCTTTCGACTCCCAAGAGACGAAGCCCTACAAGTCGGACCCCGTGTGGCGGCCATGACCAAGCTCGTGGAAGCATACCAGCAGGACGACATCCATCTCTACCAAGCCGTTCTGCAGGAGAATCAAGACCTTCTCTCAGACTCTTTCATCGCGGAGAATATTGACGAGGTCACGCGCAACATGAGAACCAAGGGCTTGATGAAAATCATCACCCCTTTGACCGGGTCACGCTCAAATGGCTCGCGGAACGCCTCAAGATCTCGGAGGAGGATGTAGAGGACGTCCTCGGGTTTCTCATCGCTGATGGGAAGCTCGATGCACGGATCGATCAACAACAGCGCACAGTGAGTTTCCTCTCGCGGGCAGACTCGGAACGACTCAAGTCCTTACAGGAGATGGCCGACGTGGTGGCGCACTTTGCAAACGCCGTCCACCGAGACAACTCAAATAATGGTAACCGCTTCGAACTAAGGGATAACAAGGTTCTCGCCCCCAACACAAAGCGCAGCTACCGACTGGCCGGCAAAACTTGGTACCGTTACAGCCCAAGTTCATAGGTTGAGGTGTGAGGTGAGAGGTGAGAGGTGAGAGGTGAGGTGTGAGGTGTGAGGTGCGATGCGATACCCGCTGTCTCTACACAACAGATACGTGGCCATTCTTTTCGAGATTGGAGGCGAAAGCCACCGTAAGCTCGGGCTCTGTATCCGTTGTTTTAGCCTCCCTCCCCTTGCTCGATCTACTGCACACCATGACTCACTGTAGTCCAGCCAGCTGTTACACCTCGGCTCAACGCTCCATCGCGATCTTGGGAAACAACACTCACATGCAGGTTGAGTAAGGAGTCTATTTGACGGGGTCGGAGGAAAAGAAAAGACAGGGGGAGAAGGTTCAAGGGGCTGGATAAGCGTTCACGCCATCATGATGAGAGGGCAGATGACTGATGATAGTTTTACCCAAATGTAGCGGGGAAAAAAGGGCTTCCTACCCAGCAACATGCTGTGGTGCCTCGATCCTGGTTTTCACATGTAACCGGGGAAGTGCTCCGGTGAATTTTTATTTTTATTACCTCCTAATCCACACCAACAGTGATGCAGGCTTCCATGCTTATCGATGAATACATGTAGTAGTTTTCATCCGCCGCTGCTCCCCCAAATACGCGAGGTAGGTCTGATAGGACCATGTTTCAAGCTGGACAACCACAAGATCGCTGCTGCAAGCTGAAAAGGGAGGGGATAAAGATGAAGATGTCGGCAGAAAAGACTTAGCTGGCGCCGATCTCCAGCGCCATGCGCCCATTCCAATGAACTAAGCCCTGACGATTACGCTAGAAGCCGCGCGCAAAAGCAGGGTAGGCTCGGCCACGGGCATTCGCGCGAAAAAGGGCGAAGAGCGAATACCTAAAGGACCGAGGGAAGAGAAGGGGGAAAGCAAGAAGAAGGAAAAAGTAAAGAAAGAAAGGAAAGCGACGGGCGTGGCAGAGCATACCGACCGACCCATGATGAGGCACGGAAGAGGGTCCCGGTCAAAAAGCCCCAGTGCGTACCAGAGGTATAGGGAGGAAGAAAGGAAAGAGAGAGAGAGGAAAAAGAAGGAAAAAACAGGATATTGGAAGTGTAGGCGGGCTCCCGTATGCCGGTATCCATCTCGCCCCGTGCTCCCCGATGCGCTTTTGTCGAAAGAGGCCGAAGGCCGTGAAAACCCGATTCTCCACCCCCTCTTGAACCGGCGGTAGTCCGTCGAGAAATGGAATCTCTCTCTCTGTATGTATGTATTTCTTTTTTTTTTTTTCTTCTTTAGATTACCCTGTCAAAGTGCACACAGTTCCCTCAACGGAGGACACCATGTGGATAGCTGCGTTGTCAGCCCGGGACACCCCGGGCATTTCTTTTTCTCATGCTTGCCCGAACAACGGAGGTTGAAGAACCCTCATCGTCTCTCTCCCCGGTAGCGGTAACGTGGACGATGAGGAACAAGGAAGAAAGAAAAAAAAAAAAATTTTCCCTTGACCCCCTTTTTGCCAGCGCATCGCGAATGCCTCGCTAGCCTCATGCAAAGGAAAAGGGTATTAAGATCAAGGGGAGAGAGGGCTGGCGTCAAAGTGCATCGCGCGCCGCCTGCCCACCTCCTCCCCGGAGCGATAGATTGTTTGACAATCTGCTCTGGCTTTTCGCAAACCGTGGACGAAGGTGTAGGACGACAGGTCACATCGATGCTGTGCAGATAGGCGGCCCTGACGTACAGAGACGGGGGCGGCAAGGGAGAAGGGGAAGGGGAAGGGGGACGCTGGACGCCACGGACCCATCCTACGGTTTTTTTCTTTTTCTTTTTCTTTTCCTCTCTGCTGGACCAGATGTGTACAGATATCGCGAAAACGACCATGTCGAACCCATGTCTACCACACATAGCAAGACGTATCTGCCAGAGAGAGAAGAGTCGGTGGTCCCAAGCGGATATCCTGTTGGAGATGCCGGGGCGCCTCCTTTGACCCCTACACTTCGTCCCTCATCTTGTTCCCAGATCTGGCTGTACGTCCGACCCGCCCCCTCATCTGTTAGTTATTCCTTTTCCTCCTCCCACCTACAGAAACACCGGGCTCTCTCTCTCTCTCTCTCTCTCTCTCTCTCTCCGCATCCCTTTCTTGCATGGTGCTCGGCTTTCTTTTCTCCTCCTCTTTTTTTCTTCTTCATGGCTCTTTGAGTTCACCCCTCCCCCAGTCGGTTGTCAATGTGGGCTCGCTGCGGCTCGGGAGGAGCGAAGAGAGGGCGGGCAGCCTGCGTTTGCGTTTGACATGCTTCACCTCCTCAACGGAAAGAGAGCGGCGGGTTGCAGACTTTTTTCCCGTTTTCTTTTCTTTTCTTTTCTTTTTCCCTCTTGCTTTCGTGCTTCATCTCTCCATCTCGATCCGCTTCGATGGACCACGCTTAGGTCTTTGGTTTATACGGGAGGGTTACACCACGCGAAAGTAAGCAAGAGAAGCGAAAAGAAAAAGGTGATTAAAAGTCGAGAAAAGAAAACGAAGGAAGCAATTTCAAGGTCGATGGATGGACCAAAGAAAAAAAAAGAAAAAGAAAAAGCCCTGGGCTTCGTTGAATACAAAGTAAGTTGCCCGTCATCCACACTTGAGAATAGAGGAGCCATTCCACAATCACAGAAAAGAAAGGAGTCTTTTTTTTTTTTTCTTTTCTTCTTTTTTTCTCCTCCCTTTTTCATCTCGTTTTCCTTTGTTTCCCCCTCAATCCCGCTTCCCACGTCTCTTCCACTGGAAGCAAAACCCCTTGTTAGACAAAAGGTCGACAAGGCTTGTCCTGCTCTTGCGTGCGCCTCGCCCCTATGTCCTACATGCATCTCTTCTTTTTACCATCGGGCTATCCAGTAGGATTAGTTGCTGTTTTACCTCTCTCCCTCTTCCCTATGCTCCCCTTGTCTATCCACTTGGGTCATCCCTCCTTGACACCCTGTCCTGGTCAAGGATTCCGGTCTTCCCCGGCAGCATGAGCAGATTTCTTGGAGAACATACAATGTTTGACGCCTTGCAGCTACACAGAACAGGAAGCCAAGAGGAGAAGAAGAAGAAGAAGAAAGACGACGGGCGTTCAATGACGCGGCACGAAGTAATCTCGGGAGTGTCGGATGCCAAACAGCAAGAAATGGCTGAAGAAAAAGGAAGGAAAAAGAAAAACTAGAAGGGCTTGGATGACCAAGGTCTGCATGGGCGCCCACCGAATAGAAACAAGCGTGGATGATTCGCCCGAACCGACTCTTCTTGTCCTTTGCTTCATGCTCTCTTTTTATCTTTTTTTCTCTCCCTTTTCCTTTTCCTTTTCTTCCACCTCTTTTTCACATGCCTCTTTTATCCGTTGCACATTGTCGAAATCTTACGTCCGTAGTGGGCGTACCGTACCATATGCACCAAATGCAAGCCTCTGGGAACAAAGCATTCTACGACTGAAGCATCCGAGGAGCGCCAGAGGGGAGCCGAGGGTAAAACAGCAAAAAAGCACGAGGAGAGAAGAAAGGCGAGGAAAAAGAAGTGAAAAACAATGAGGGAGTAATTGAGAAGCATGGCCAATATGTTTGCGGCTACCTCCCATGCGGCCTTCTTCCCGTGGACGCAGTTGGGGGCCGCGCGGGGAAGCACGAATGGCTCCGGGCATGATGATACGGCCCACAGAAAAGGGAGGGGTTCCACGGAGCTGTGGTGCAGTGGCATCCATCCATTTATTGTAATAGATCCAGAGATCAAATGTACTGGAGTGGAGTGGAGTGTCAATGCCTTCCCGCGCGTCGTCGCTCCTGCTCCACCTCGGTCTCTGCCTGCTCTCGGTGTCCCTTCAAGGCGCCGCCTCTTGACTTTGCGTGCATCGCAGATCCGGCGGGGAGTGGACGGGTTGATACGAGGTAATCTACGCAGGACACGAACGATGAAATGGGGGAAACGCGGAAAGGCAAGAGAGAGAGAGAGAGAGAGACATCAGTAAACATCGCCGTGGCCGTGGCCAGGCCGAATCGCCGAAGTTGACAGCAGGCGCCGGCGAGGATCAAGGTAAGAAAAAAAAAAAGAAAAGAGAGAAGCTTTAAGCGTGTAGCATCTGGACCGGTGCTTCCAAGGCCCGCCGGTGTCCTCTGCTCTGGGCACCCGTGTCTTTCTCCTTGTCCGATCCGCCACCATGCTCAATCCGTGACTGTTCTGTTAGTCATGAGGGAAAAGAACAATCAGGCCAACGATGAGAGAAACGAAAAAAAAAAAAAAAAAAGACAGGGTCATCATGATTCAATAGAGATGGGTAAGCAAGCATTCGTCCATGGATGTGGAAATAGGTATGCGGCTGACCGCCACCACGGCACCAGCCAGCGGTCCAGCCCACTCTAACCCTCCCCTTCCCGTTTATACTTGTCCATACGTCGCCGCCGTCTCCACCTGCCTCCGGTAACCCTGTTACAATCTTGCCGAGTGCGGTTTCCAGCGTTCCCTTTCAAAGTTGCAAGGGATTCATCGTACTGTGGCGACATTCCGTGGCCTCGACTAACACAGCCCGCGTTGAAGAACCTTGAGATGCAGCAACGCACTCTAGCGGGCGAGACTGAAGCGTGGACGTTCTTAGTCGAAAGAATAAAGGAAAGAAAATAAAAAGGGATCCAGGTGGGGCAGAAAGCTTGGCGAATACACCATGTTAAATGCATCTAGATGATATTAATAACGAAGAAGCACACTCAAGGGGAAACTAGACCATGGGCTGTCTGGAGGTCCGGGACGGCACGCTGCTTCCAATCAACGACAACGCCTCGGTTTTTCCCTCTTGTTTCCAATGCCAGGTCTCCGGTCTCTCTCCCTCTCTGTCTCCCGCACACATTAAAAAAAAACGGCACGGGATGGCTGAAGAGATCCTGGGCCATGGGCCGCCAGGCAAGGAAGGATCCGTCGCCGTTGCTTGACCATGGCCTTGGACCTTGTCCTGTGCAGTGAGGAATGGTGTGCTGGCAGGGGGCAAGCAAGCGTGGGGAGAAGGAGGGGTGGAAGACACTGAACAAAAAAAAAAAAAAAGGGCCAAGATCGTAG